TGATGGAAAGCGGGAGAATGGGGCGGGTGATGGAAAGCGGGAGAATGGGGCGGGGTGATGGAAAGCGGGAGAATGGGGCGGGGTGATGGAAGGAGGGAGAATGGGGCGGGGTGATGGAAAGCGGGAGAATGGGGCGGGGTGATGAAAATCGGGAGAATGGGGCGGGGTGATGGAAAGCGGGAGAATGGGGCGGGGTGATGGAAAGCGGGAGAATGGGGCGGGGTGATGGAAAGCGGGAGAACGGGGCGGGGTGATGGAAAGCGGGAGAATGGGGCGGGGTGATGGAAAGCGGGAGAATGGGGCGGGGTGATAGAAGGTGGGAGAATGGGGCGGGGTGATGGAAAGCGGGAGAATGGGGCGAGGTGATGGAAGGAGGGAGAATGGGGCGGGGTGATGGAAGGAGGGAGAATGGGGCGGGGTGATGGAAGGCGGGAGAATGGGGCGGGGTGATGGAAAGCGGGAGAATGAGGCAGGGTGATGGAAGGCGGGAGAATGGGGCGGGGTGATGGAAAGCAGGAGAATGGGACGCGGTGATCGAAAGCGGGAGAATGGGGCGGGGTGATGGAAAGCGGGAGAATGGGGCGGGGTGATGGAAGGAGGGAGAATGGGGCGGGGTGATGGAAAGCGGGAGAATGGGGCAGGGTGATGGAAAGCGGGAGAATGGGGCGGGGTGATGGAAAGCGGGAGAATGGGGCGGGGTGATGGAAAGCAGGAGAATGGGGCGGGGTGATGGAAAGCGGGAGAATGGGGCGGGGTGATGGAAGGAGGGAGAATGGGGCGAGGTGATGGAAAGCGGGAGAATAGGGCGGGGTGATGGAAAGCGGGAGAATGGGGCAGGGTGATGGAAAGCGGGAGAACGGGGCGGGGTGATGGAAAGCGGGAGAACGGGGCGGGGTGATGGAAAGCGGGAGAATGGGGCGGGGTGATGGAAAGCGGGAGAATGGGGCGGGGTGATGGAAAGCGGGAGAATGGGGCGGGGTGATGGAAGGAGGTAGAATGGGGCAGGGTGATGGAAGGAGGGAGAATGGGGCAGGGTGATGGAAAAACGGGAGAATGGGGCGGGGTGATGGAAAGAGGGAGAATGGGGCGGGGTGATGGAAAGCGGGAGAATGGGGCGGGGTGATGGAAAGCGGGAGAATAGGGCGGGGTGATGGAAAGCGGGAGAATCGGGCGGGGTGATGGAAAGCGGGAGAACGGGGCGGGGTGATGGAAAGCGGGAGAACGGGGCGGGGTGATGGAAAGCGGGAGAATGGGGCGGGGTGATGGAAAGCGGGAGAATGGGGCGGGGTGATGGAAGGAGGGAGAATGGGGCGGGGTGATGGAAAGCGGGAGAATAGGGCGGGGTGATGGAAAGCGGGAGAATGGGGCAGGGTGATGGAAAGCGGGAGAACGGGGCGGGGTGATGGAAAGCGGGAGAATGGGGCGGGGTGATGGAAAGCGGGAGAATGGGGCGGGGTGATGGAAAGCGGGAGAATGGGGCGGGGTGACGGAAAGTGGGAGAATGGGGCGGGGTGATGGAAGGAGGGAGAATGGGGCGGGGTGATGGAAGGAGGGAGAAAGGGGCAGGGTGATGGAAAGCGGGAGAATGGAGCGGGGTGACGGAAAGCGGGAGAATGGGGCGGGGTGATGGAAGGAGGGGGAATGGGACCGGGTGATGGAAGGAGGGAGAATGGGGCGGGGTGATGGAAAGCGGGAGAATGGGGCGGGGTGATGGAAAGCGGGAGAATGGGGCGGGGTGATGGAAAGCGGGAGAATGGGGCGGGGTGATGGAAGGAGGGAGAATGGGGCGGGGTGATGGAAAGCGGGAGAATGGGGCGGGCTGATGGAAGGCGGGAGAATGGGGCGGGGTGATGGAAAGCGGGAGAATGGGGCGAGGTGATGGAAAGTGGGAGAATGGGGCGGGGTGATGGAAAGCGGGAGAATGGGGCGGTGTGATGGAAAGCGGGAGAATGGGGCGGGGTGATGGAAAGCGGGAGATTGGGGCGGGGTGATGGAAAGCGGGAGAATGGGGCGGGGTGATGGAAAGCTGGAGAATGGGGCGAGATGATGAAAGCGGGAGAATGGGGCGGGGTGATGTAAAGCGGGAGAACGGGGCGGAGTGATGGAAAACGGGAGAATGGGGCGGGGTGATGGAAAGCGGGAGAATGGGGCGGGGTGATGGAAAGCGGGAGAATGGGGCGGGGTGATGGAAGGAGGGAGAATGGGGCGGGGTGATGGAAGGAGGGAGAATGGGGCGGGGTGATGGAAAGCGGGAGAATGGGGCGGGGTGATGGAATAAGGGAGAATGGGGCGGGGTGATGGAAAGAGGCAAAATGGGGCCAGGTGATGGAAAGCGGGAGAATTGGGCGGAGTGATGGAACGCGGGAGAATGGGGCGGGGTGATGGAAGGAGGGAGAATGGAGCGGGGTGATGGAAAGCGGGAGAATGGGGCGGGGTGATGAAAGGCGGGAGAACGAGGCGGGGTGATGGAAGGAGGGAGAATGGGACCGGGTGATGGAAGGAGGGAGAATGGGGCGGGGTGATGGAAAGCGGGAGAATGGGGCGGGGTGATAGAAAGCGGGAGAATGGGGCGGGGTGATGGAAAGCGGGAGAATGGGGCGGGGTGATGGAAGAAGGGAGAATGGGGCGGGGTGATGGAAAGCGGGAGAATGGGGCGGGGTGATGGAAGAAGGGAGAATGGGGCGGGGTGATGGAAAGCGGAAGAATGGGGCGGGTGATGGAGAGCGGGAGAAAGGGGCGGGGTGATGGAAAGCGGGAGAATGGGGCGGGGTGATGGAAGGAGGGAGAATGGGGCGGGGTGATAGAAAGCGGGAGATCGGGGCGGGGTGATGAAAATCGGGAGAATGGGGCGGGGTGAGGGAAAGCGGGAGAATGGGGCGGGGTGATGGAAAGCGGGAGAATGGGGCAGGGTGATGGAAAGCGGGAGAATGGGGCGGGGTGATGGAAGGAGGGAGAATGGTGCGGGGTGATGGAAGGAGGGAGAATGGGGCGGGGTGATGAAAGGAGGGAGAATGGGGCGGGGTGATGGAAAGCGGGAGAATGGGGCGGGGTGATGGAAAGTGGGAGAATGGGGCGGGGTGACTGAAGGAGGGAGAATGGGGCGTGGTGATGGAAAGCGGGAGAATGGGGCGGGGTGATGGAAGAAGGGAGAATGGGGCGGGGTGATGGAAGGAGGGAGAATGGGGCGGGGTGATGGAAAGCGGGAGAATGGGGTGGGGTGATGGAAAGCGGGAGAATGGGGCGGGGTGATTGAAGGCGGGAGAATGGGGCGGGGTGATGGAAAGCGGGAGAATGGGGCGGGGTGATGGAAAGCGGGAGAATGGGGCGGGGTGATGGAAAGCGGGAGAATGGGGCTGGGTGATGGAAAGTGGGAGAATGGGGCGGGGTGATGGAAAGCGGGACAATGGGGCAGGGTGATGGAAAGCGGGAGAATGGGGCGGGGTGATGGAAAGCGGGAGAATGGGGCGGGGTGATGGAAAGCAGGAGAATGGGGCGGGGTGATGGAAAGCGGGAGAATGGGGCGGGGTGATGGAAGGAGGGAGAATGGGGCGGGGTGATGGAAAGCGGGAGAATAAGGCGGGGTGATGGAAAGCGGGAGAATGGGGCAGGGTGATGTAAAGCGGAAGAACGGGGCGGGGTGATGGAAAGCGGGAGAATGGGGCGGGGTGATGGAAAGCGGGAGAATGGGGCGGGGTGATGGAAAGCGGGAGAATGGGGCGGGGTGATGGAAGGGTGTAGAATGGGGCAGGGTGATGGAAGGAGGGAGAATAAGGCAAGGTGATGGAAAACGGGAGAATGGGGCGGGGTGATGGAAAGAGGGAGAATGGGGCGGGGTGATGGAAAGCGGGAGAATGGGGCGGCGTGATGGAAAGCGGGAGAATGGGGCGGGGTGATGGAAAGCGGGAGAATGGGGCGGCGTGATGGAAAGCGGGAGAATGGGGCAGGGTGATGGAAGGTGGGAGAATGGGGTGGGGTGATGGAAAGCGGGAGAATGGGGCGGGGTGATAGAAAGCGGGAGAATGGGGCGGGGTGATGGAAAGTGGGAGAATGGGGCGGGGTGATGGAAAGCGGGAGAATGGGGCGGGGTGATGGAAAGCGGGAGAATGGGGCGGGATGATGGAAAGCGGGAGATTGGGGCGAGGTGATGGAAAGCGGGAGAATGGGGCGGGGTGATGGAAAGCGGGAGAATGGGGCGGGGTGATGGAAGGTGGGAGAATGGGGCGGGGTGATGGAAGGAGGGAGAATGGGGCGGGGTGATGGAAGGAGGGAGAATGGGGCGGGGTAATGGAAGGAGGGAGAATGGGGCGGGGTGATGGAAAGCGGGAGAATGGGGCGGGGTGATGGAAAGAGGGAGAATGGAGCGGGGTGATGGAAAGCGGGAGAATGGTGCGGAGTGATGGAACGCGGGAGAATGGGGCGGGGTGATGGAAGGAGGGAGAATGGAGCGGGGTGATGGAAGGCGGGAGAATGGGACCGGGTGATGGAAGGAGGGAGAATGGGGCGGGGTGATGGAAAGCGGGAGACTGGGGCGGGGTGATGGAAAGCGGGAGACTGGGGCGGGGTGATGGAAAGCGGGAGAATGGGGCGGGGTGATGGAAGGAGGGAGAATGGGGCGGGGTGATGGAAAGCGGGAAAATGGGGCGGGGTGATGGAAAGCGGGAGAATGGGGTGGGGTGATGGAAAGCGGGAGAATGGGGCGAGGTGATAGAAAGCGGGAGAATGGGGCGGGGTGATGGAAGGCGGGAGAATGGGGCGGGGTGATGGAAAGCGGGAGAATGGGGCGAGGTGATGGAAAGTGGGAGAATGGGGCGGGGTGATGGAAAGCGAGAGAATGGGGCGGTGTGATGGAATGCGGGAGAATGGGGCGGGGTGATGGAAAGCGGGAGATTGGGGCGGGGTGATGGAAAGCGGGAGAATGGGGCGGGGTGATGGAAAGCTGGAGAATGGGGCGGGGTGATGAAAGCGGGAGAATGGGGCGGGGTGATGTAAAGCGGGAGAACGGGGCGGGGTGATGGAAAACGGGAGAATGGGGCGGGGTGATGGAAAGCGGGAGAATGGGGCGGGGTGATGGAAAGCGGGAGAATGGGGCGGGGTGATGGAAGGAGGGAGAATGGGGCGGGGTGATGGAAGGAGGGAGAATGGGGCGGGGTGATGGAAGGAGGGAGAATGGGGCGGGGTGATGGAAAGCGGGAGAATGGGGCGGGGTGATGGAAAGAGGGAGAATGGGGCGGGGTGATGGAAAGCGGGAGAATGGGGCCGGGTGATGGAAAGCGGGAGAATTGGGCGGGGTGATGGAACGCGGGAGAATGGGGCGGGGTGATGGAAGGAGGGAGAATGGAGCGGGGTGATGGAAAGCGGGAGGATGGGGCGGGGTGATGAAAGGCGGGAGAATGGGGCGGGGTGATGGAAGGAGGGAGAATGGGGCGGGGTGATGGAAGGAGGGAGAATGGGGCGGGGTGATGAAAGGAGGGAGAATGGGGCGGGGTGATGGAAAGCGGGAGAATGGGGCCGGGTGATGGAAAGCTGGAGAATTGGGCGGGGTGATGGAACGCGGGAGAATGGGGCGGGGTGATGGAAGGAGGGAGAATGGAGCGGGGTGATGGAAAGCGGGAGAATGGGGCGGGGTGATGAAAGGCGGGAGAACGGGGCGGGGTGATGGAAGGAGGGAGAATGGGACCGGGTGATGGAAGGAGGGAGAATGGGGCGGGGTGATGGAAAGCGGGAGAATGGGGCGGGGTGATAGAAAGCGGGAGAATGGGGCGGGGTGATGGAAAGCGGGAGAAAGGGGCGGGGTGATAGAAGGAGGGAGAATGGGGTGGGGTGATGGAAAGCGGGAGAATGGGGCGGGGTGATGGAAGAAGGGAGAATGGGGCGGGGTGATGGAAAGCGGGAGAATGGGGCGGGGTGATGGAAAACGGGAGAATGGGGCGGGGTGATGGAAAGGGGGAGAATAGGGCGGGGTGATGGAAGGAGGGAGAATGGGGCGGGGTGATGGAAGGAGGGAGAATGGGGCGGGGTGATGGAAGGAGGGAGAATGGGGCGGGGTGATGGAAAGCGGGAGAATGGGGCGGGGTGATGGAAAGAGGGAGAATGGGGCGGGGTGATGGAAAGCGGGAGAATGGGGCCGGGTGATGGAAAGCGGGAGAATTGGGCGGGGTGGTGGAACGCGGGAGAATGGGGCGGGGTGATGGAAGGAGGGAGAATGGAGCGGGGTGATGGAAAGCGGGAGGATGGGGCGGGGTGATGAAAGGCGGGAGAACGGGGCGGGGTGATGGAAGGAGGGAGAATAGGACCGGGTGATGGAAGGAGGGAGAATGGGGCGGGGTGATGGAAAGCGGGAGAATGGGGCGGGGTGATAGAAAGAGGGAGAATGGGGCGGGGTGATGGAAAGCGGGACAATGGGTCGGGGTGATGGAAGGAGGGAGAATGGGGCGGGGTGATGGACAGCGGGAGAATGGGGCGGGGTGATGGAAGAAGGGAGAATGGGGCGGGGTGATGGAAAGCGGGAGAATGGGGCGGGTGATGGAAAGCGGGAGAATGGGGCGGGGTGATGGAAAGCGGGAGAATGGGGCGGGGTGATGGAAGGAGGGAGAATGGGGCGGGGTGATGGAAAGCGGGAGAACGGGGCGGGGTGATGAAAATCGGGAGAATGGGGCGGGGTGATGGAAAGCGGGAGAATGGGGCGGGGTGATGGAAAGCGGGAGAATGGGGCGGGGTGATGGAAAGCGGGAGAATGGGGCGGGGTGATGGAAAGCGGGAGAATGGGGCGGGGTGATGGAAAGCGGGAGAATGGGGCGGGGTGATGGAAAGTGGGAGAATGGGGCGGGGTGATGGAAGGAGGGAGAATGGGGCGGGGTGATGGAAAGCGGGAGAATGGGGCGGGGTGATGGAAGGAGGGAGAATGGGGCGGGGTGATGGAAGGAGGGAGAATGGGGCGGGGTGATGGAAAGCGGGAGAATGGGGCGGGGTGATGGAAAGCGGGAGAATGGGGCGGGGTGATGGAAGGCGGGAGAATGGGGCGGGGTGATGGAAAGCGGGAGAATGGGGCGGGGTGATGGAAAGCGGGAGAATGGGGCGGGGTGATGGAAAGCGGGAGAATGGGGCGGGGTGATGGAAAGGGGGAGAATGGGGCGGGGTGATGGAAAGCGGGAGAATGGGGCGGGGTGATGGAAAGCGGGAGAATGGGGCGGGGTGATGGAAAGCGGGAGAATGGGGCGGGGTGATGGAAAGCGGGAGAATGGGGCGGGGTGATGGAAAACGGGAGAATGGGGCGGGGTGATGGAAAGCGGGAGAATAGGGCGGGGTGATGGAAGGAGGGAGAATGGGGCGGGGTGATGGAAGGAGGGAGAATGGGGCGGGGTGATGGAAGGAGGGAGAATGGGGAGGGGTGATGGAAAGCGGGAGAAAGGGGCGGGGTGATAGAAGGAGGGAGAATGGGGTGGGGTGATGGAAAGCGGGAGAATGGGGCGGGGTGATGGAAGAAGGGAGAATGGGGCGGGGTGATGGAAAGCGGGAGAATGGGGCGGGGTGATGGAAAACGGGAGAATGGGGCGGGGTGATGGAAAGCGGGAGAATAGGGCGGGGTGATGGAAGGAGGGAGAATGGGGCGGGGTGATGGAAGGAGGGAGAATGGGGCGGGGTGATGGAAGGAGGGAGAATGGGGCGGGGTGATGGAAAGCGGGAGAATGGGGCGGGGTGATGGAAAGAGGGAGAATGGGGCGGGGTGATGGAAAGCGGGAGAATGGGGCCGGGTGATGGAAAGCGGGAGAATTGGGCGGGGTGATGGAACGCGGGAGAATGGGGCGGGGTGATGGAAGGAGGGAGAATGGAGCGGGGTGATGGAAAGCGGGAGGATGGGGCGGGGTGATGAAAGGCGGGAGAACGGGGCGGGGTGATGGAAGGAGGGAGAATGGGACCGGGTGATGGAAGGAGGGAGAATGGGGCGGGGTGATGGAAAGCGGGAGAATGGGGCGGGGTGATAGAAAGAGGGAGAATGGGGCGGGGTGATGGAAAGCGGGAGAATGGGGCGGGGTGATGGAAAGCGGGAGAATGGGGCGGGGTGATGGAAAGCGGGACAATGGGGCGGGGTGATGGAAAGCGGGACAATGGGGCGGGGTGATGGAAGGAGGGAGAATGGGGCGGGGTGATGGAAGAAGGGAGAATGGGGCGGGGTGATGGAAGAAGGGAGAATGGGGCGGGGTGATGGAAAGCGGGAGAATGGGGTGGGTGATGGAAAGCGGGAGAATGGGGCGGGGTGATGGAAAGAGGGAGAAAGGGGCGGGGTGATGGAAAGCGGGAGAACGGGGCGGGGTGATGGAAAGCGGGAGAACGGGGCGGGGTGATGGAAAGCGGGAGAACGGGGCGGGGTGATGGAAAGCGGGAGAATGGGGCGGGGTGATGGAAAGCGGGAGAATGGGGCGGGGTGATGGAAAGCGGGAGAATGGGGCGGGGTGATGGAAAGCGGGAGAATGGGGCGGGGTGATGGAAAGCGGGAGAATGGGGCGGGGTGATGGAAAGCGGGAGAATGGGGCGGGGTGATGGAAGGAGGGAGAATAGGGCGGGGTGATGGAAAGCGGGAGAATGGGGCGGGGTGATGGAAGGAGGGAGAATGGGGCGGGGTGATGGAAGGAGGGAGAATGGGGCGGGGTGATGGAAAGCGGGAGAATGGGGCGGGGTGATGGAAAGCGGGAGAATGGGGCGGGGTGATGGAAGGCGGGAGAATGGGGCGGGGTGATGGAAAGCGGGAGAATGGGGCGGGGTGATGGAAAGCGGGAGAATGGGGCGGGGTGATGGAAAGCGGGAGAATGGGGCGGGGTGATGGAAAGGGGGAGAATGGGGCGGGGTGATGGAAAGCGGGAGAATGGGGCGGGGTGATGGAAAGCGGGAGAATGGGGCGGGGTGATGGAAAGCGGGAGAATGGGGCGGGGTGATGGAAAGCGGGAGAATGGGGCGGGGTGATGGAAGGAGGGAGAATGGGGCGGGGTGATGGAAAGCGGGAGAATGGGGCGGGGTGATGGAAAGCGGGAGATTGGGGCGGGGTGATGGAAGGCGGGAGAATGGGGCGGGGTGATGGAACGCGGGAGAATGGGGCGGGGTGATGGAAAGCGGGAGAATGGGGCGGGGTGATGGAAGGAGGGAGAATGGGGCGGGGTGATGGAAAGCGGGAGAATGGGGCGGGGTGATGGAAAGGGGGAGAACGGGGCGGGGTGATGGAAGGCGGGAGAATGGGGCGGGGTGATGGAAAGCGGGAGAATGGGGCGGGGTGATGGAAAGCGGGAGAATGGGGCGGGGTGATGGAAAGCGGGAGAATGGGGCGGGGTGATGGAAAGTGGGAGAATGGGGCGGGGTGATGGAAAGCGGGAGAATGGGGCGGGGTGATGGAAGGAGGTAGAATGGGGCAGGGTGATGGAAGGAGGGAGAATGAGGCAGGGTGATGGAAAACGGGAGAATGGGGCGGGGTGATGGAAAGAGGGAGAATGGGGCGGGGTGATGGAAGGAGGGAGAATGAGGCGGGGTGATGGAAGGAGGGAGAATGGGGCGGGGTGATGGAAGGAGGGAGAATGGGGCGGGGTGATGGAAAGCGGGAGAATGGGGCGGGGTGATGGAAAGCGGGAGAATGGGGCGGGGTGATGGAAAGCGGGAGAATGGGGCGGGGTGATGGAAAGCGGGAGATTGGGGCGGGGTGATGGAAAGCGGGAGAATGGGGCGGGGTGATGGAAAGCGGGAGAATGGGGCGGGGTGATGGAAAGCAGGAGAACGGGGCGGGGTGATGGAAAGTGGGAGAATGGGGCGGGGTGATGGAAAGCGGGAGAATGGGGCGGGGTGATGGAAAGCAGGAGAATGGGGCGGGATGATGGAAGGAGGTAGAATGGGGCAGGGTGATGGAAGGAGGGAGAATGGGGCAGGGTGATGGAAAACGGGAGAATGGGGCGGGGTGATGGAAAGAGGGAGAATGGGGCGGGGTGATGGAAAGCGGGAGAATGGGGCGGGGTGATGGAAAGCGGGAGAATGGGGCGGGGTGATGGAAAGCGGGAGAATAGGGCGGGGTGATGGAAAGCGGGAGAATGGGGCGGGGTGATGGAAAGCAGGAGAACGGGGCGAGGTGATGGAAAGCGGGAGAACGGGGCGGGGTGATGGAAAGCGGGAGAATGGGGCGGGGTGATGGAAAGCGGGAGAATGGGGTGGGGTGACGGAAAGCGGGAGAATGGGGCGGGGTGATGGAAGGAGGGAGAATGGGGCGGGGTGATGGAAGGAGGGAGAAAGGGGCAGGGTGATGGAAAGCGGGAGAATGGAGCGGGGTGACGGAAAGCGGGAGAATGGGGCGGGGTGATGGAAGGAGGGAGAATGGAACCGGGTGATGGAAGGAGGGAGAATGGGGCGGGGTGATGGAAAGCGGGAGAATGGGCCGGGGTGATGGAAAGCGGGAGAATGGGGCGGGGTGATGGAAAGCGGGAGAATGGGGCGGGGTGATGGAAGGAGGGAGAATGGGGCAGGGTGATGGAAAGCGGGAGAATGGGTCGGGGTGATGGAAGGCGGGAGAATGGGGCGGGGTGATGGAAAGCGGGAGAATGGGGCGGGGTGATGGAAAGCGGGAGAATGGGGCGGGGTGATGGAAGGCGGGAGAATGGGGCAGGGTGATGGAAAGCGGGAGAATGGGGCGGGGTGATGGAAAGCGGGAGAATGGGGCGGGGTGATGGAAAGCGGGAGAATGGGGCGGGGTGATGGAAAGGGGGAGAATGGGGCGGGGTGATGGAAAGCGGGAGAATGGGGCAGGGTGATGGAAAGCGGGAGAATGGGGCGGGGTGATGGAAAGCGGGAGAATGGGGCGGGGTGATGGAAAGAAGGAGAATGGGGCGGGGTGATGGAAAGCGGGAGAATGGGGCGGGGTGATGGAAGGAGGGAGAATGGGGCGGGGTGATGGAAAGCGGGAGAATGGGGCGGTGTGATGGAAAGCGGGAGAATGGGGCGGGGTGATGGAAAGTGGGAGATTGGGGCGGGGTGATGGAAAGCGGGAGAATGGGGCGGGGTGATGGAAAGCTGGAGATTGGGGCGGGGTGATGAAAGCGGGAGAATGGGGCGGGGTGATGTAAAGCGGGAGAACGGGGCGGGGTGATGGAAAACGGGAGAATGGGGCGGGGTGATGGAAAGCGGGAGAATGGGGCGGGGTGATGGAAGGAGGGAGAACGGGGCGGGGTGATGGAAAACGGGAGAATGGGGCGGGGTGATGGAAAGCGGGAGAATGGGGCGGGGTGATGGAAGGAGGGAGAATGGGGCGGGGTGATGGAAGGAGGGAGAATGGGGCGGGGTGATGGAAGGAGGGAGAATGGGGCGGGGTGATGGAAAGCGGGAGAATGGGGCGGGGTGATGGAAAGAGGGAGAATGGGGCGGGGTGATGGAAAGCGGGAGAATGGGGCCGGGTGATGGAAAGCGGGAGAATTGGGCGGGGTGATGGAACGCGGGAGAATGGGGCGGGGTGATGGAAGGAGGGAGAATGGAGCGGGGTCATGGAAAGCGGGAGAATGGGGCGGGGTGATGAAAGGCGGGAGAACGGGGCGGGGTGATGGAAGGAGGGAGAATGGGACCGGGTGATGGAAAGAGGGAGAATGGGGCGCGGTGATGGAAAGCGGGAGAATGGGGCGGGGTGATGGAAAGTGGGAGAATGGGGCGGGGTGATGGAAGGAGGGAGAATGGGGCGGGGTGATGGAAAGCGGGAGAATGGGGCGGGGTGATGGAAGGAGGGAGAATGGGGCGGGGTGATGGAAAGCGGGAGAATGGGGCGGGGTGATGGAAAGCGGGAGAATGGGGCGGGGTGATGGAAGGCGGGAGAATGGGGCAGGGTGATGGAAAGCGGGAGAATGGGGCGGGGTGATGGAAAGCGGGAGAATGGGGCGGGGTGATGGAAAGCGGGAGAATGGGGCGGGGTGATGGAAAGGGGGAGAATGGGGCGGGGTGATGGAAAGCGGGAGAATGGGGCGGGGTGATGGAAAGCGGGAGAATGGGGCGGGGTGATGGAAAGCGGGAGAATGGGGCGGGGTGATGGAAAGAAGGAGAATGGGGCGGGGTGATGGAAAGCGGGAGAATGGGGCGGGGTGATGGAAGGAGGGAGAATGGGGCGGGGTGATGGAAAGCGGGAGAATGGGGCGGGGTGATGGAAAGCGGGAGAATAGGGCGGGGTGATGGAAAGCGGGAGAATGGGGCGGGGTGATGGAAAGTAGGAGAACGGGGCGAGGTGATGGAAAGCGGGAGAACGGGGCGGGGTGATGGAAAGCGGGAGAATGGGGCGGGGTGATGGAAAGCGGGAGAATGGGGTGGGGTGACGGAAAGCGGGAGAATGGGGCGGGGTGATGGAAGGAGGGAGAATGGGGCGGGGTGATGGAAGGAGGGAGAAAGGGGCAGGGTGATGGAAAGCGGGAGAATGGAGCGGGGTGACGGAAAGCGGGAGAATGGGGCGGGGTGATGGAAGGAGGGAGAATGGAACCGGGTGATGGAAGGAGGGAGAATGGGGCGGGGTGATGGAAAGCGGGAGAATGGGCCGGGGTGATGGAAAGCGGGAGAATGGGGCGGGGTGATGGAAAGCGGGAGAATGGGGCGGGGTGATGGAAGGAGGGAGAATGGGGCAGGGTGATGGAAAGCGGGAGAATGGGTCGGGGTGATGGAAGGCGGGAGAATGGGGCGGGGTGATGGAAAGCGGGAGAATGGGGCGGGGTGATGGAAGGAGGGAGAATGAGGCGGGGTGATGGAAAGCGGGAGAATGGGGCGGTGTGATGGAAAGCGGGAGAATGGGGCGGGGTGATGGAAAGTGGGAGATTGGGGCGGGGTGATGGAAAGCGGGAGAATGGGGCGGGGTGATGGAAAGCTGGAGATTGGGGCGGGGTGATGAAAGCGGGAGAATGGGGCGGGGTGATGTAAAGCGGGAGAACGGGGCGGGGTGATGGAAAACGGGAGAATGGGGCGGGGTGATGGAAAGCGGGAGAATGGGGCGGGGTGATGGAAGGAGGGAGAACGGGGCGGGGTGATGGAAAACGGGAGAATGGGGCGGGGTGATGGAAAGCGGGAGAATGGGGCGGGGTGATGGAAGGAGGGAGAATGGGGCGGGGTGATGGAAGGAGGGAGAATGGGGCGGGGTGATGGAAGGAGGGAGAATGGGGCGGGGTGATGGAAAGCGGGAGAATGGGGCGGGGTGATGGAAAGAGGGAGAATGGGGCGGGGTGATGGAAAGCGGGAGAATGGGGCCGGGTGATGGAAAGCGGGAGAATTGGGCGGGGTGATGGAACGCGGGAGAATGGGGCGGGGTGATGGAAGGAGGGAGAATGGAGCGGGGTCATGGAAAGCGGGAGAATGGGGCGGGGTGATGAAAGGCGGGAGAACGGGGCGGGGTGATGGAAGGAGGGAGAATGGGACCGGGTGATGGAAAGAGGGAGAATGGGGCGCGGTGATGGAAAGCGGGAGAATGGGGCGGGGTGATGGAAAGTGGGAGAATGGGGCGGGGTGATGGAAGGAGGGAGAATGGGGCGGGGTGATGGAAAGCGGGAGAATGGGGCGGGGTGATGGAAGGAGGGAGAATGGGGCGGGGTGATGGAAAGCGGGAGAATGGGGCGGGGTGATGGAAAGCGGGAGAATGGGGCGGGGTGATGGAAGGCGGGAGAATGGGGCAGGGTGATGGAAAGCGGGAGAATGGGGCGGGGTGATGGAAAGCGGGAGAATGGGGCGGGGTGATGGAAAGCGGGAGAATGGGGCGGGGTGATGGAAAGGGGGAGAATGGGGCGGGGTGATGGAAAGCGGGAGAATGGGGCAGGGTGATGGAAAGCGGGAGAATGGGGCGGGGTGATGGAAAGCGGGAGAATGGGGCGGGGTGATGGAAAGAAGGAGAATGGGGCGGGGTGATGGAAAGCGGGAGAATGGGGCGGGGTGATGGAAGGAGGGAGAATGGGGCGGGGTGATGGAAAGCGGGAGAATGGGGCGGGGTGATGGAAAGCGGGAGAATGGGGCAGGGTGATGGAAAGCGGGAGAAGGGGGTGGGGTGATGGAAAGCGCGAGAATGGGGCGGGGTGATGGAAAGCGGGAGAATGGGGCGGGGTGATGGAAAGCGGGAGAATGGGGCGGGGTGATGGAAGGAGGTAGAATGGGGCGGGGTGATGGAAGGAGGGAGAATGGGGCAGGGTGATGGAAAACGGGAGAATGGGGCGGGGTGATGGAAAGAGGGAGAATGGGGCGGGGTGATGGAAAGCGGGAGAATGGGGCGGGGTGATGGAAGGGGGGAGAATGGGGCGGGGTGATGGAAAGCGGGAGAATGGGGCGGGGTGATGGAAAGCGGGAGAATGGGGCGGGGTGATGGAAAGCGGGAGAATGGGGCGGGGTGATGGAAAGCGGGAGATGGGGCGGGGTTATGGAAAGCGGGAGAATGGGGCGAGGTGATGCCAGGAGGGAGAATGGGGCGGGGTGATGGAAAGCGGGAGAATGGGGCGGGGTGATGGAAGGAGGGAGAATGGGGCGGGGTGATGGAAAGCGGGAGAATGGGGCGGGGTGATGGAAAGAGGGAGAATGGGGCGGGGTGATGGAAAGCGGGAAAATGGGGCGGGGTGATGGAAAGCGGGAGAATGGGGTGGGGTGATGGAAGGAGGGAGAATGGGGCAGGGTGATGGAAGGAGGGAGAATGGGAGGCAGGAGAATGGTACGGGGTGATGGAAAGCGGGAGAATGGGGCGGGGTGATGGAAAGCGGGAGAAAAGGGCGGGGTGATGGAAAGCGGGACAATGGGGCGGGGTGATGGAAAGCGGGAGAATGGGGCGGGGTGATGGAAGGAGGGAGTATGGGGCGGGGTGATGGAAAGCGGGAGAATGGGGCGGGGTGATGGAAAGCGGGAGAATTGGGTTGGGTGATGGAAAGCGGGAGAATGGGGCAGGGTGATGGAAAGCGGGAGAATGGGGCGGGGTGATGGAAAGCGGGAGAATGGGGCGGGGTGATGGAAAGCGGGAGACTGGGGCGGGGTGAGGGAAAGCAAGAGAATGGGGCGGGGTGATGGAAAGCGGGAGAATGGGTCGGGGTGATGGAAGAGCCACTGCCGCACATTCTCCCTTGCAGCCGCAAGCCCTCTCCTCCTTTTCAGGTGCCACCTCACTCCATGGAACCACTGGCACATGTCATAACTCGTCATGCAGGTCCTTGTCCTCATGCAGGTTCCACAGCACTTGGTCACCACGACGCCCTTCGAAAGTTTCAGCTCCATTGGTCGACGTGCACACCCCTACAAGTCCCATCTTCCGCAAAGAGATTAGATTTCCCTTCAGCTCTGGCACCAAGAGCACGTCTTCCAAGAAGACCGGTTTCCCGTCAGCTCCCTTGAAGGCTGCCTTCCTGACCCCCATCACTTTCATCTCATGCCCACATCCCGAATGCATTTCAGTGATGCACGTTTTCCCAATCACATCAAGCAGGTCCGCCCTCGGGGTCATGTGGTACGCTGCTCCGGAGTCTAGAATCCAAGTGTTAAGGGGAGGAGGCTTTGCTCTCTTCTTGGCGGATGCCTTCTTATCTCCCCTATTCCCTTGCACGCGGAAGAACTGTCCAGGAGCTCGTTCCCAACCATTTGCCCCTTCCATTGCGGTCTCTGCAACATAACCAACGTCGTTGTGTTGGTTCTCCTTTCGCTCGTTACCCTCATATCCGGGAGTCCACCCTCTGGGTCGCTTCCAGCATTTCACCCATGTGTGTCGCGGCTTCTTGCAGTACCAACAGGTACCCTTGAACCCGTGGTAGCCACCGTGCTCCTCGTCTTCGTCATCATCACTTTTGTCACCTCTCTGCTTCCTTTCATCTCGTTTGTCTTCATGCCGTCCTTGTTCACCACGTCCGCTATCAAGCCGTCCACGTTCACCTTGACTGCGGCCCTTGCGCCACCTACTCGCTTGAACGCCATAACCGCCATCTCCGTCTTGCTTCAAATTGAACTGCCGCCTCCTAAAGTCCTCCTCCAAGATTTTGGTCCTCACCCATTCGAGTGTCCATGACCCTTGATTCTGAGGAAGACTGAGACCACTTGTGAACTGCAACCAAGACTCGGGCAGCAACGACAACATCCGCAAGCACCTCGTTTGCTCCGGGTAGGTTACGCCCGCAATCTTCAGCTTCGCGTACAACTCACGCATCTTGTCAAGGACGGGTTGAATCGGCTCCCCTTCATTCAGCCGCAACGACGCAAGTTCACGCTCTAGCATGAGCGTTGCAACCACCGAGGTTGGCGCATGCAGCTCCTTAAGTACCTTCCAAGCTAGTGGTCCGCATTCATCCTTCTCCAGCAGATGCATGACATGTGATCTCTGGTTCAGGTCCAAACTCTGCGAAAGGAGGTAGTAGCCGGCCGTCGCACGCTCGTCCCACTCCTCTTGCAAGTTGGGGTCGTCCGGCCTCTTCTCCTCGCCCGTCATCAGCTTCAACAAGCCAACTTGCCGAAATTAAAGCTGCATTTTCCATGCCCAATCGTTGTAGCCGTTGCCGTTGAACTTGTCGACGACGAAATTCTTGAGCACCTCCTTCAATAGGGAGCCCTGGCTGACCCGCACTCTCCTTGGCGCTGAATCACCATTATCTTGGCTTCCGCTATTAGCTTGTGCCAAAGAACCTTCATTGTCGCCCGACGCCATGCTCTTCTAACGGCAATACGTAGAACCACAGCTCTGATACCACTTGTTGACTACTATTGAGATCTAGAAGCTACTAAGCACACCTTTAATTCACACTTAACAGTCCCCACGGGGTCACCTCCAAGGGTCCTTGGGTGCCTAGCAAGGCCAGCCCCTATCCAAGGGTCCGTGTTATGTCGAGGGACACGCTAAGTATGAAAACAATCGCATGCATTAGAGCATTCCCAAAACTCCTTGCGCAGCGTTGTGACGACGAACTGGTCGTGTGCAGAAAGTTCTCTTCACGTCAATACGATGATAGAGAAAAACTTCACTCAAAGGACTCATTACAACTGAACACAAGCACGCATTTATATTTCGCCTAGCACACAAGCACAAGAAAGCACAAAGCAGTTGTTTAACTATACTTCAGGACTTCGCCAGATGCGCCAAGGAAAACGGTTGTCGAACTGCTTCGAAATTTGGCTTGGTTCTCCCCTGTAGAATAACTGTCTTCAAATTTCATGTCTGCCAAATTCCCCTGCTGACTCCCCTCGTGAACGTTCGCGACTTCTCGTGCGCAATCATAAACGCTCGTATGAGATTACCGTTTTCACGAAGTCTCACAGTTGAAAAACGGCTTTCACCGTTTTTTTCCTGTATCGAAATTGTCCCTTTACGCGCGCGATCTTTCCAGCGAAGTTACTTGTAAGTCGAGTCAACGCGGGATACGGCTTTTCAACCGTAATCCCGAGCACCCCCACGACTGCAATCATGCACGACCGATATTTCGGTCGTGCTGTACAGTGCGCTGTACTGCGCATGGGCAGGGCGATCATTCGCCCTGTCTTGTTGAGATCGTGGGCCATGCCACGCTCGCAACAGTGCGAAGTCACACGCGCGGGCCAGAGGGCCCACACGCGCGATCAGGACCCCACGCGCGGGTCCAGATTTCCTCGCGCTGTTGACCTTGACCATCGCAAGAATTCTAAGGGTCAACATTGACCCGTCGTGAACACCCACGATACTTCATGAACACACACGAAAACAGAAAAACGAAAACTAACATGAACACTCACAAACATTCATGAACAGCGCACAGACTTCACGGAATTTCACGAACACAGTCACGAACACAGAAATTCACGAACACAGAATTAACACATGCTTATGAAAACTCGCGAAACAACGCAAACGCACATGAAGCCTCGCATTAACACACGGATATTCACGAACACTCAGGAACGCAACCTTTCACGGGAACTCACATAACTCATTAACCGTTGAGGCGATTCACAAGCCGTAAACACAGAAACGTAAAGTACATAGATGCGCAACTCACACACAACAAATTACCTTGAGACGAAACACCTCACTTTCACTCAACGTCGACACATAGGCGGTAGGTTGTCGTGCAAACTATGTATTGCACTCAACATAGGTAACATTCACGACTGGTATGCCTATATTAAGTGAATTACATAGATCCAAAAGGTTAAAGCCTGGTGGAGGGGCAGGGAAATGTATAATTTAAAGGAAAATCTAAAAATATATGGTATTCACTGTATATTTATACAGGAAAAATGATGCGTGGGTCGGTTCGATCAGTATGCACGCTTGTGTGCAGGTACAAGGTGGAGCTGAAGCGTTGAGATCTCCCAATTTATGTGAATCTAAAAGGTTAAAATCTGGTGTTGTTAAAGTAGATGGCCTAATCTAATGGACTGGCACGAAAATGGTACTAACTCCATCTCTACAAACACAAGTAATGCACTGGTCAGTTTGGTTGGTATGCGAGCCTGTAGTGCAGGTACCATGCATGACTGGAATGCCAATATTTGGCTAATTACATAGATCTAAAAGGTTAGAACCTGGTAGAGGGGTGGGAAAATATATAATTTCAAGGAAAAGCTAAAACTATATGGTATTTACTGTTTTTTTTTTACGGAACATATTTGATGCGTGGGTTGGTTCGGTCTGTGTGCACGCTTGTGTGCAGGTACAAGGCGGAGCTGGAGCTTTGAGATCTCCCAAAATATGTGTGTCAGAATGATGTAATTGTCTAGCCTGCAATGGGGTACTCTATAGCGAGTACAACCCAACTAGGGTTTCCTATATGTATCTCAACTGCTGCTAGTGCAAACCCTCTCTTTCTGCTTCTAAACTTTTCCTCGTAATTGTGACATGGTATCAGAGCCTGTCCTTCCTCGGCCTGTGGGCCCACCAACCTGCTTCCGCTGCTACTCGATCTGTCGCACGCCCCGTGACGTGCGACGTATTTTTCATCCCGCCGCGCGCCGGCGCGCGGCCCCTTTTCTTCTTGGCGCGCCGGCCCCGCTGGACCTGCGCGCCCACCCCGTCGACCCTCGCGTCGCCTCAGGGGACCCGCGCGCCACCCCCGTCGACCCTCGCGTCGCCCCCGGGGACCCGCGCGCCACCCCTGGAGCCGTACGCGACCCCCCCGCTACCTCGTCGCGGCGCCCTGGGGAGCCGCGCGCGGCCCCTCGCTGCCCCGTGGTGGCGCCCTGGGGGCTGCGCGCCACCCCTGGAGCCGTGCGCGACCCCCCTTGCTGCCCCGTGGTGGCGCCCTGGGGGCCGCGCGCCGTCCCCCTCGCCGTCCCCCGCGCTCCTGCCCCGTGCCACCCGTTTTAGGGTTTGGGGGTGGGGAGTGTGGGGGTGGCGGTTGTGGGGGTGCCGGTTGTGTGCGCCGTCCCCTACTCCTCCTCCTCCTCCGTCTCCCACTGCTGCAGCTGCCGCTCAGGGGGGGGTGGGTGTGTGGGAGCCGAAGGAGTGGTGCTAGGGGGGTGACGTGGGAGTGGAGCTAGGGGTGCAGCAGGGGGTGTGTGCTAGGGGCGTGGGGCAGTTGGCGGAGGTTGAGCGGAGGTCGCAGTCGTGTCGCCAGCAGCACCAGTAGTCCGAAGGCTACAATCTCCGGTAGTCGCCAGTCGCCTGTGGGTCAGTTGCTCCAGTCAGGAGGCTACAATCTCCGCGGAGCCAGTTACTCCTGTAGTCCGGGCCATTGCTTCGGTAGCCACTGAGCCAGCAGCTCCTGTGTGTCTGCAGCTTCCGCCGTCGCCTCCCATCTCCTCTCCTCTCACAGTCCCTCCTCCTCCTCACATGCCCTCTGTGACTACCTCTAGCTTTACTTGGGCTTGTGAACTATTTTATGACTGCTTGTTGTGTTGATTACACCCCACTTTGGCCATGGGGGTGTGTCAGAATGATGTAATTGTCTAGCCTGCAGTGGGGTACTCTATAGCGAGTACAACCCAACTAGGGTTTCCTATATGTATCTCAACTGCTGCTAGTGCAAACCCTCTCGTTCTGCTTCTAAACTTTTCCTCGTAATTGTGACAATGTGGATTTAAATGGTTAGGACCTAGTATTGTTAAAGTAGATGGCCTAATCCAATGGACTGGCGCGAAAATTGTACTAAATCCATCTCTACAAACACAAGTTATGCGCTGGTCAGTTTGGTCGGTATTCACGATTGGAATGCCTATATTAAGCGAATTGCATATGCGCGACCGACATCGTAACTATACCCCCTCCCACCTGGCAAAACAGACTCGGCTTCAAACGCGCACAGATGCACGACCGACATCGCTTGAGTCGGGCCATCCTGGACGTCCTGGGCCAGTTTTGCCCCGGCACGCTGAAAATCCGTGCGCATGTGTGGAAGATTGCGAAGCAGTCGGGGGTTCTTGCGCTCGATCGTGCTCCCCATACCCCCTCCCACCTGGAAAAACAGTCTCGGCTTCAAACGCGCACAGATGCGCGACCGACATCGCTTGAGCCGGGCCATCCTGGACGTCCTGGGCCAGTTTTGCCCCAGCATGCTGAAATTCCGCGCGCATGTGTGGAAGATTGCGAAGCAGTCGGGGGTTCTTGCGCTCGATCATGCTCCCCATACCCGCTCCCACCTGGAAAAACAGTCTCGGCTGCAAACACGCACAGATGCGCGACCGACATAGCGTGTGTCTGGCCATCCTGGACGTCCTGAGTTAGTTTTGCCCTAGAACGCTGAAAATCCGAGCGCATGTGTGGAAGATTGCGAAGCAGTCGGGGGTTCTTGTGCTCGATTGTTGTACTCCCTCCCACATGGCAAAACAATCTCGGCTGCAAACGCGCACAGATGCGCGACCGATATCGCTTGAGCCGAGCCATCATGGACGTCCTGAGCCAGTTTTGCCCCAACACGCTGAAGATCCGCGCGCATGTGTGGAAGATTGCGAAGCAGTCGGAGGTTCTTGCGCTCGATCGTGCTCCCTATACTCCCTCCCACCTGGCAAAACAGTCTCGGCTGCAAACGCGCACAGATGCGCGACCGACATCGCTTGAGCCGGGCCATCCTGGACGTCCTCAGCCAGTTTTTCCCCAGCACGCTGAAAATCCGCGCGCATGTGTGGAAGATTGCAAATCACTCGGGGGTTCTTGTGCTCGATCGTGCTCCCCATACCCCCTCCCAACTTGCAAAACAGTCTCGGCTGCAAACGCGCACAGATGCGCGACCGACATCGCTTGAGCCGGGCCATCCTGGACGTCCTGAGCCAGTTTTGCCCCAGCACGCTGAAAATCCGCGCGCATATGTGGAAGATTGCGAAGCAGTCGGGGGTTCTTGCGCTCGATCGTGCTCCCTTTGCTCAGGTTGAGCATGATCGGTCATTGGTACTGGCAAATGAACCATGTCTGCTGCATTTTCTGCACATGTGCGGATCCTTTCGCGTATTGGGGATGAAAACGCTCATTCTTAGCGTTTTTCAACCATTCGGTCACACGAGTGTGTGCATTTGGACCTATTACCAAGCCAGGAAGAGCATGGAAGGGTGGCAAGCATGATCGGTCATTGGTACTGGCGAATGAACCATGCCTGCAGCATTCTCTGCACTTGTGCGGATCCTTCCTCGTTTTTGGAATGAAAACGCTCGTTTCGAGCGTTTTTCTTCCGTTCGGTCATGCGGTTGTGTGTCTTTGGATTTAATACCAAGCCAGCAAGAGCGTGGGAGGGTGGCGAGCATGATCGGTCATTGAAACTGGCGAATGAACCATGCCTGCTGCATTTTTTGCACATGTGCGGATCCTTCCGCGTTTTAGAGATGAAAACGCTCGTTCCGATCATTTTTCTTCCGTTCGATCACGCGGCTGTGTGTGTTTGGACTTATTACCAAGCCAGCAAGAGCGTGGGAGGGTGAGAGCAAGATCGGTCATTGGTACTGGCGAATGAACCATGGCTGCTGCATTTTCTGCACATGTGCGGATCCTTCCTCGTTTTGGGGATGAAAACGCTCGTTGCGAGTTTTTTTCTTCCGTTCGGTCACGCGGTTGTGTGTGTTTGGACCTATTACCAAGCCAGCAAGAGCGTGGGAGGGTGGCGAGCATGATCGGTCATTGGTACTGGCGAATGAACCATGGCTGCTGCATTTTTTGCACATGTGCGGATCCTTCCGTGTTTTGGCGATGAAAACTCTCGTTCCGAGCATTTTTCTTCCGTTCGGTCACGCAGCTATGTGCCTTTGGACCTATTACCAAGCAAGCAAGAGCTTGTGTAATGAATATAGCTATTCATTACTAAGTCTGCTACTAGGGCGTACAGCCCTGAGCACTTCGCGTCAGTTTTTTGTTCGGCCTACATTTCGGCCCGAACCACTGCCAAGTCGCCCCACACCGATCGCGACACGTCCAACCCCGCACGTCACGAGGTTCTTGCCTATCACATATTCGCCCTATAAATTCTCGTTTTTTTCATTATCGCGTCATTCTGGAATTCATCCTTTTTATAAAGTCTTCCGCGCACTCTTTTTAGTACAACGTATAACCAGCGTGGGAGGTTGGCGAGCATGATCGGTCATTGGTACTTGCGAATGAACCATGGCTGCTCCATTTTCTGCACATGTGCGGATCCTTCCGCGTTTTGGGGATGAAAACGCTCGTTCCGAGCGTTTTTCTTCCGTTCGGTCACGCGGCTGTATGCGCTTGGACCTATTACCAAGCCAGCAAGTGCGTGGGAGGGTGGCGAGCATGATCGGTCATTGGTACTAGCGAATGAACCGTGCCTACTGCATTTTCTGCACATGTGTGGATCCTTCCGCGTTTTGGGGATGAAAACGTTCGTTTTGAGCGTTCTTTTTCCGTTCGATCACGCGGCTGTGACCTATTACCAAGCCTGCAAGAGACTGGGAGTGTGGCGAGCATGATCGGTCATTGGTACTGGCGAATGAACCATGCCTGCTGCATTTTCTGCACATGTGCGGATCCTTCCGCGTTTTAGGGATGAAAACGCTCGTTTCGGTCGTTTTTCTTCCGTTCGGTTACGCGGCTGTGTGTGTTTGGACTTATTACCAAGCCAGCAAGAGCGTGGGAGGGTGAGAGCATGATCGGTCATTGGTACTGGCGAATGAACCATGGCTGCTGCATTTTCTGCACATGTGCGGATCCTTCCTCGTTTTGGGGATTAATACGCTCGTTGCGAGCGTTTTTCTTCCGTTCGGTCACGCGGTTGTGTGTGTTTGGACCAAGCCAGCAAGAGCGTGGGAGGGTGGCGAGCATGATCGGTCATTTGTACTGCGAATGAACCGTGCCTGGTGCATTTTCTGCACATGTGCGGATCCTTCCGCGTTTTGGGGATGAAAACGCTCGTTCCGAGCGTTTTTCTTCCGTTCGATCACGCTGCTCCGAGCGCTTGGACCTATTACCAAGCTAGCAAGAGCGTCGGAGGGTGGCGAGCAGTTTCATGCTTCACCCCATCTGCTTTGTCCAACTCATGTTTAGAGCAGGGTTAGGTACAGTAACCATAATCCATTGTTACCGTATGTCAAGACGAGATACTCAAGCAGGGCCGCACTTTCTGTGCGAGACTCTAGACTTCATTGCAATGTGTTTGCTTCCAACCAAAGGTAGGTTGGATTGTTCTAGTGGACCGATACGGTACTTGTTTGTACAAGTGCAAAGCAAAAAACACAAGTTTTCTCTGCACTCTTGGCTTCATGTGACCTACTAGTATACCTGAAAGAGATATGTTCAGGACAATTGCATTAACGGGAGGGGAACGGTGGCTGTGCGGGATAGGCTCCTAACCAGGACCCTCCAGGCTGCCTCCGCTGCTGCAAAGAGCGCGGGGACTTGCGGGGAAAGGTAGGGCAGCAAGGGTCCCGCCACCCTGGTACGGTCACGCAGGAGTGTGACTGTGGCGGGGGCGAGGGAGGGGAGGGCGACGGCACATCTGACGGCGGAAGGGAGGGCGGAGGAGAGGAAGTCGGTGGCAGCGGCCGTGTGGGTGAGCGTGTGGGCGAGCAGATGCAGCACCTGGTGTGGATTGGGGGGCAGAGGGGAGGGGAACGTGGGGGGCACAGACAAGGAGAGGAAGTTGGTGGCAGCGGCCGTGTGGGTGAGCGTGTGGGCGAGCAGATGCAGCACCTGATAACGATGGAGGAGAGGGGAGGGGAGAGGGGGGGTTGGTGACGGGGAGGGGGTAAAGGGGACACGCAGGGGGAGGAGATGGAGATGAGGACGAATGGGCTAGCAGGTCGGAGTGAAGGGAGAGGAAGAAAGCTTGATAGTGGAGGGAAGAGCGGATGAGAGGAAGAGAGGGCGACTGAGAAGGAAATGGTGCAGGGAAGGACGGCTCACATGGGAGGCGAGCGGCAGGGCGTCGGGTGCATCGCTACAGCACACAGCATACTCCGCCACCAGAGCCACGGCCATGAGCTGGCGCGACATGATTGGCTGCTGCAGCAACTCCCGCACGAGTGCTGGGAGGAGCGAGCGTGTGGCTGGGGAGGCTGCAACCAGGGGAGGTACACATGTGAGCGAAAAGCCCTGCAGAAGAGGACAAAGGGACGGAGGGAACGAAATACAGAGATGCGGAGGGACAGAATGAGAGAATTATAAGGGGGACAAAGGCATGTGGTGCATTACCAACGACGCCTTGCGTGTGATGGGGGGGGGACGGCTTGCATCAAACATCAACTCGGCGGCAGGAAGGTACCTGGAAGGTGAGGAGGCGGAGCAGCAGCGGGTGCTGGGCGATGAGGCGGTCGAGGAAGGCGAAGAGCATGGCCTGGCATGCTCTCACGTCCCTGCCCTGCTGCCCCGCCTGCCACCGCTGCCTCTGTAGTTCATGCCTTTGTTGCTCACGCTGCTTCCTCCATTGCCCCACTTCCTCCTCTTCACCCTCCACCCCCTCATCCTCACCCTCCTCCTCCTCATGCTCCTCATCTCCCTGCTCCTCCTCTCCCCCCAACTCCTCCAGCCTCTCAAAAATCTCTTCCACCCTCTCCCCCTCCTCCTCACCTTCCTCCTGCAACTCACCACACATCTCCAGGACCATCTGAGCCACCACCCCCACCATCGCCACCACCCCATTCTCCACCTCCGCTCCGCTCATCCGCTTCCCCAGCCTCGCCACCACCCCTTTGCTCAACCCCAACCCCACACCGAAACCCAAACCCACACCACCCACACCAGGACCGGTCTGATTGAATCCTTTGCCTTCCTCCTCTGACCCTGCCCGTGTCCCCACTTTCCCTGCACCTCCCCCGCCTCTCTCCCCTTTCTCCGCTGCTCCGGCTCCCCCTCTAGCCGCACCACCAGCACCAGCAGTGCCAGCAGTGCCAGCAGTGGCACTGCTCCCACCATTCCCACCCTTCTCTCCATCACCATTTGTAACCCCCCCACCGTTTTCCCCACCTGCTCCCTCTGCCAGCTCAGCAGCGCACGCCCTGCGGAAATCGTCCAGCTGGCGCGTCAGGATTGGCAGGAGGAGGCCAGAGAGGAGGGGAGGGGAGCGGAAGAGGAGCGGGTGGGAGGAGAGGAGGCGGAGGGGGAGAGTGAGGGCGTCTAGAGGGTGGGGGGGACGGACAGGGAGGGACGGAGAAGATGGAAAGGGAGGAAGTTCCAGAGGAGAGAAACGAGGAGGTGAGAGGGAAGGTGGAGGTGGTGGGGAGTGAGTGGAGAGAGGGAGGGGGGGTGAGGGCGACAGGGAGAAGGGGGATGGAGAGGAGGGAGGAGGGAAGTTCTGGGTTTGAATCGCTTCGACCACAGCTGGCATGAGAGCTAGATATCCCAGAGGGGGGAGTCGGCTCCACCAATAGGAGAATGACACCTGGATAGCCCTCAGGTCCATGATCGAGTGTGATTGCAGCGAGTGTGACTGTAAGAGAGAAGAAAGCAGGTTGTTGATAATGACAAGCTCTGCCGCCCAATCCCCAACGTCAAACCCTGCGTCGGCCAGGGAGGCGCTAAAAAACTTTTCCCTGCCCCTTTGCGTGACTCCTTTGACAGCAGGTTCGGAGGCAGAGAGGGAGAGCGAGAGGGATAAGGAGAGGGGAAACTGCCAGGCATCAAGAAGAGCGCAGAGAAGAATGCAAAACTCCTCATGCTGCTGCTGCTGGGGGTTGGAGTTTAAGGCAAGGGGGCAATTAGCCATGCTCCACTCAAATGCTTGCACAGGGCTTGAAGTGAAGGAGATGGGAGGGGTGTTAAGATTGTTGAGAGTGTTGGGAGCGTTTGGGGATAGGAGGGTGTGAAGAAGAGAGTAGAGGATGTCTAGAGCGTGCTGGTGTGGCAGGTTGTCATCTGGTGCTGTTCCGTTTGCTGGAATAGCAATCAAGCGTGCTGAGGTAGATAATGAGCGGGCTGATGTGGTGGTGGAGCGTGCTGACGTGGCAGGGAGGGAGGGTGGGAGGAGGAGGTTGAGATAGGGGAAGGTGCGGAGGGCTTTGGGGCGGGCGAGTGTGTGGAGAGGAGGAGGGGGAGGAAAAGGGCTTGTGAGGGAAAAGGCGTCGGAGTTTGTTGGTAGGGGCAGTCGAGGAGGCTGCCCGGGAAAGTCGGGCAGCATAGAAAACGCCAGAGACTGCCACTGCAAGCAGGAAAGAGAATTCACAGGAGACACAGGTTGGGAAAAGGTTTGTGAGGGGGGTCTTGGGAAGAAGCAGCACAGCGAAAGAGGAAAAGCAAGAGAGGAGAGAGGCAACGGAGGGAAAGGAAGGCAAAGGGAAGGTGACACATACAGTGGAGTGAAGTTTGCAAGAAAGGAGAAGAGAAGGATCTTTGGCAAGTGGAGTGACACACGGTGGGCATTAGAGAGTGAAGGAGCGAAGTGACACTCTCTCTAATAGCTACAACACTCACAGTAGGCATGAGCGGGGTGAAGTCAAGGAACCTCCGCTCAAAGGTGGCAAGCAGGGTGTGCCAGGGCACGGCACACAGCAGCAACTGCCACCACTGCTGCCCTGGCAGGGCATGAATGACCACTGCTCTGCATGCCTGCACCGCTCCTCTGCTCCCTGTTCCAACTGTCGCCCTTGCACTTCCTATCCTGCCACTCCCACCACCGCCCTCCTCTCGTTCCTCCTCTCCCTCTTCTCCCGCCTCTCCCTCCTCTTCATTTTCCCCCTCTGCTCCCTCGTCTCCCTCTTCCCCTTCCTCGAACTCCTCTCCCACTTCTGGCAGCACGAATTCAGCCCCAGCAACTCCTCTCTTGCCCGGCACGCCCTGTATCCCTCTCCTCTCCCCTCCCTCCTGCGTCCCTCTCCTCTCCCCTCCCTCCTGCGTCCCTCTCCTCTCCCCTCCCTCCTGCGTCCCTCTCCTCTCCCCTCCCTCCTGCGCCCCTCTCCTCTCTCCCGCCTCCTGCCCACCTCTTTTCTCCCCACTCCCCCACGCTCCTCGCTTCCTCTGCATCTCCCGCTCCCACAGCAGCACATACAGCGACCCCAGCGCCCCTCGTGCTAGCACCCTCCCCTCCTCACCCCAGCACATCTCCTCCAACCGCATTCCACTAGTGCCACGACCCACCGCCCCACCCACGTCATCCCCGGCGCCACCACCCCCACCCGCCTTACCAGTTTTTGACCCTGATTCAGGTTCCAGAGATGCCACTTGGGGCAGAGGTTGTGTGGAGAGGAGGGGAGAGAGCAGAGCAGTGTGAGGAATTCCAGAGGTGGTGAGGAGACAGGCCGGCCAAATGAGACGAAGGAGGGCAGAGCGAGAGAGGGGTTGGATGGCAGGGGTGGGAGGGGTTGTGGTGGGGGGAGAGAGAGTGGGGGCGGTGTTTGGAATGGTAGGGGAGGAGGTGGGGTGGAGGGGGGAGCGGGAGGGGTGAGAGGGGGATGGGTGGGCGGAGGAGGGGTGGGATGGGGAGATGCGGGACGGGGAGGGGTGGGAACGGGGGACGTGAGAGGGAGAAGCGTGGGAGGGGGAGGGGTGCAAGGAGGGGAGAGAATAATGAGGGTGCGTCGGGGGGTGGGCCGAGGGGGGGTGGGAGACTGGCGTGCGGGCGGGGGTGGGTGGAGCAGGAGGGAGGGACGCGGAAGCAAGGGCAGAGACGTAGGAAGAGAGGAGGGAGGGGAATACAGGGTGGATGGGGAGGGAAGCGGCGTAGAGGCAGCGGAAGAGAGCCGGGGTGGGGTTGATGTGGTGGAGGGCGAAGAGGTCTGCCTCTAGCAGCAGATGCATGCACTCTGCTGCCCGCACTGCTGCTGATGCTGATGCTGATGCTGATGCTCGCACTGTTGCTGCTGGTTTGTCCACTGGGCCGGTGCAATCTCGGACTGTACTGTGGGCTTGGTTTGAAAAGAGCTGCTGGGATGCAACACACGGTGGGTGCAGCGCTGCCACTGCTCTGACCACCCCTGCTGCAGAGACTATCACAGGAGCAGCGGTAGTAGTGGCGGCATTGGTTATGCTAGCAGAAGTAGCATTCTCACGAGCGGCATTGGTAGTGCCAGCAGAAGTAGCATTCTCACGAGCGGCAGTGGCAGGAGGCGCAACAGCAGTAGCAGCAGCAGCAGCAGTGCTGTTAGCATTCCCGTTGGGACTTCCTCCCCCTACTGCAGTATCAGCGAGATGGGTGAGAGAGGCGGTACTCAGTAACACAGGGAAGCCCAGGGTCTGCCGAATGAGCTGTGGATGGGGTAGAGGCATGAAAGGGAGGAGTGGGAGAAAGGGAAGGGGAGAGTGAATATGTGATTCCAGGGGCCTGAAATGGCAAGCTGGCATATGCACGCATGGGCACATGGACACGTGTGCATGTACTCTTTAGTGGGAGTGGGCACACACAACAAGCTCACGATAAAAGCATTCTAATTTATCCAAGTGTGTTCTTTCACACGCACCTCTGTCAGAGATTCATGTCTCTTAAGCATCAGCTGCACCAGCACCCACACCACCAGCACCCACACCACCAGCACCTGTTTCCTCTGCTTCCCTCCTCCCTTTGCCTCACCCACAGACATTCACTCACATTGCACGTGCACACAATCACATGCACCTGCACCAGAGCCTCGTGTCTCTTGAGCATCAGCTGCACCAGCACCCACACCACCAGCACCCACACCACCAGGACTTCGTTGCGCACATGGGACACACACGTGCACATTCACACAAGCAAACACACCTCTACCAGAGATTTATGCCTCTTGAGCATCAGCTGCACCAGCACCCACACCACCAGCACCTCGTTTCCTCCTCTTCCCCATCCTTCTGCCCCACCACTCCCATCGGCCACTTTGTTTCGCGGTTGCTTCGAGGAGGAACGTGCAGAATCGTGAGATGGGTTGATCGCGAGATGGGATGAGAGAACGGAACGTGCTGCTTCAAGGTAGAGGGGGTGGAGGAGAGGCGAGGAGGCGAGGGAGGGGGGGATGAGGGAGAGGAGGGAGAGAGCGAGGAGCACGAGCTCTTTAGAGATAGGGGAGGGTGTAGCTCCTGCTTTCTTGCTGTGCTGCTGCTGGTGCTGATGGTGCTGGTGCTGGTGACGGTGATGGTGATGCTGATGCTGATTGTGCTGGGATGTGCTGGCGCCGTTTCCTGCTGTGGCTTGCACGATTGCTGACAGCCAGAACGACACCTGCAGCAGCAGCAGCAGCAGCCAACGAAGTTGAGGAGAGGTACTAATGAGGCCCCACGTGGGTAAAATTGAAGGTCGCAGGTGATAACAGAGGGCGACAAGAAAACCACCGAACCACGAAACCACCAAGCAATACTTACTTCCTTATGACGCTCCACACCACACCCTCAGCTGGTGCAGTGCAGTCGAGATGCCTGCACCGCCCTACCACACCACCACCAACCAACCACCCCCCTATGTCTCATTGCTCGAGGACGAGGTGCATACAACCTCATCCCAGCCGTTCGTCTCTGCATTCATCATCCCATATCCCCCCACCCCACCCACCTTCCCGCCGCCCGTGCACCCACCTCTTTGGCTGCCAGGCTGTCACGTGCAGCATCCTCGAGCTTCACCACGCCGCACCCGCACAACAGACAAAACACCCGCAGGTGCCGTGACAGTTCCGCCGACCATCTTCCCACCACCCCGCCGCCCTCCTCCAGACGCTCATGTGCCTTAAGCCCTGTACTCCCTGCCACGCCACCACCACCTTTTTCCTCCTCCTCCTTCTCCTCCTTCCTGGAAACCTCATCCTCACCCTTAACCTCCCCACCCTCCCCACCCTCTCCACACTCCCAACTCTCCACACGCCCCCCACTGTGCCCCAGCCTCACGTCAAGACCCACTCTCTCCGCCTCTGCCTCTGCTCCTCGCAGCAATGCCGCCCTGGCGCGCCACATGGCGCATTCCGATTGGCTCCCAACAGCCACCATATCCTCACATTCCCCCATCGACCCTGCTGTATCCCTTTGTGCCTTCACCCCTCCTCCTTGGGCATGTGACACTAACGGGCCCCAGGTCTCCCTTGGAGAGAAGAACACCAGAGGATCAAATGCAGTGAGGCTCGGAAACGACTGCGCAAGAACACTTTTCCTTGGAAGAAATACGTCCTCTGCTTCTCTCTCCCTCTCCCCCTCTTTCCCCCCCTGCTCTGCATGTCTACTCACTGCATCCCCTTCCTCTTTTCCGTCTCTCCCCTCCCCTCTACCAATATTCTCTTCTTCCTCTTCTGCTATTTTCCCGCCTGGCAGCCTGTAAGGGGCTATAAGAAACCTCCAGAAACTGGTTTTGGCCAATAGGGGATCGGACAGAGGAGGCAGGGCAGACAGGAAAAACGCCAGCTCATCGCCAATCAGATCCACCGTGATCTGCACTGCCAGCTCAGCAAGCACGTGCTGACTCAGCAACGCCGCCCGGCACGCCTTGGGAACCGCAAGAGGGTCTTCCAGCAACACAGGACCTATAGATTTAGCCGTGGATCTGCTTGCTGAGGTGGCAGCAGTAGCTGCGGACAGCTGGCAGACGCGGACCATGGCGAGGGAAGCTGCACGGAAGGTGCATGAGGCCCAGTTTGCAGCGGTAAGACGAGCAGTGGAGGGGGCGATGGAGGCAGTATTGCTGGTGTGAGCATGGGAACGAGCAGCTGAGGGAGGAATTGGGAGCAGTGAGGATGGTGCAGAGGGGTGATGGTGATGGGAGGAATGTTTATGGTGTGCAAATGCATTCTCGTGAATGGGACCCACCACACCAGGGAGGAACCCCTGTGCCTGCTTGTGCTGTAGCTCTTTCAGCGGGGGCGGCTTGGAGGAGAAGATTCCAGGAAAGGCAAACGCAAGCGGCCGCTTCGGACGCAAGGTCTGCTTTGCACCACCAGTAGCACCAGCACCAGTGGCAGCCCCGGCACCAGCAGCAGTGGCAGCACCAGTAGCACCTGAACGGCCTGCTGCCACAGGCGTTTTAGAATCCCCAGGCGCAGCAGCAGCAGCAGCAGCAGCAGCAGCAGCAGCAGCCCCCCAATGTGTGGGTTGCGGTTCAGGGAGAGACGATGGTGGGGCAGGTTGAGAGGGAATTGCTGTAGGTGCGGATGTGGAGGCTGATGTTTGGGCTAAGACTCGCGCGAGGAGCTTGATCGCGGAGGTTCGGAACTGCGGAGAGGTTTGGAGCACGAGACCTGCAATCAGGCTCGGGCCGAGCCTTGAAGCCAGCAGTCCGAGAACAGCCAGACCTGTAGGGACAGCAGAGGGGTGAGGGACCGGACCAGCAGGGGTGAGAGAGGGATCAAATGATTCCTCAGGAATGCTGGAAAGGGATTGGAGGGCAAAGAAACTTGGAGCGTTGAATGAAGGGAGCGCCTTGACATAAGGTGGGAGAAAAGTTTGCGTTTTGCGTTGTAGCGACGTCTGTGTGTTACAAGTGGCTGACCTGGCGGCAGGAGGGAGGGGCACTTGAGTGCCAGAGCTGGAAGCAGGCAGAGCAGCTCTGGGATGAACACGGGATCATCAAATAGCCTCCTCTCCAGGTGTGCTCTGAGTTCACTCAATACACGCTGACCCTGGTGTGGTGTGGGTTACGTGTGGTGTGACTCACCTGGTGGCAGGAGCGAGGGGCACTTGAGCGCCAGAGCTGGAAGCAGGCAGAGCAGCTCTAGGAGAAACATGGGATCGTCAAATAACCTCCTCTCCTCCTCTTCTTCTTCTTCTTCTTCTTCTTCTTCTTCTTCTTCTTCTTCTTCTTCTTCTTCTTCTTCTTCTTCTTCTTCTTCTTCTTCTTCTTCTTCTTCTTCTTCTTCTTCTTCCTCTTCCTCCTCCTCCTCCTCCTCCTCCTCCTCCTCCTCCTCTCCCTCCTCCCCTTTCATCCCTTTGCACCGCTCTCTAACCATGCGCAAGGCAGCAGCACCCATCAATTCCTCCTCAAGACCTCCCAGGCCCCACTCCCCCAACCCTCCTCTCCCCCACACACCCCCCTCAGCTCTCTGCACTCCTCTTTTTCTCTTCCCTTCACTGTCACGCCTCTTAAACCTCAGCTTCTCCCACTCCACTTCCTCCTCCGCTCCCCTTGCCCCTCCTTCTGCGGCGGCCCGACTCTCACGCATGTGGAGAAAAAAACGCACAGTGCACTTTCGCAGGAAGAAGACAGCCAACACTGCCCGTTGCACCTGAAAAACACGAGGAAGGTACAAAAAAAAAAAAAAAAACAGTCACAGCCACCCTACCGACCACAGGCACAGCGCATGTTGGGCTGCAAACGATCGATAAAACATGGCACGATATTCCAAGAAAATAACCATTGCCTCAATACAGTTTCAACATCTAGGTCGCCACGTATGACTAGATTCACTAAGCAGTCGCCTGAAGAGAGTCGGACGTGACATTCCAAGTCAATGAGTCAGTAAAACAAAGAACCAGCCAGCGCCAAAGGCACCATGGCTCACCTCGTCGCCCATTTCAAACATCTCCGCAACATCCAGCCGCGCTGCCCTTCCTCTTCCCCTTCGCTCTCCGCCTCCCCTATGCCTTCCCCCACTACCGTCATTGTCCCCCTCCCTCTTGACCTTTCCGCCTCGTGACACCTTCTCCCTCTTCCCATCCTCTCCCTCTTCCGTCTTTACCAGCCCCTTCCCCCTCATTCCCCCCTCATCCTCCGCTCCCCTCCGCTTCCGCCGCTTCCAAGCCCGTACCCCCGCACCCCACCGTCCTCGCCAGTCTGACTGCAGCTTCCGCCATCCGCGCTGCATCCGTGCGAGCCGCTTAAACTCCGCGGCGACTGCGGCCGGCTCTAGCAGCGACACGTACTCCGCAAGACGCGGCGCGAGTTGCGGGTTGAGCACCGCCCGCGACGCCGTGACTTTATCGAAAGCCATGAGGTCTAGCAGATGGGCGTTACGTTTGCTGGGAAAACGATGCGGTCCGACTTTACATTCAGGTGATAAGGATGGAAACTGAGTGAAAGGAAGAAATTGCGGCTGATCAGGTTCCGGAGTCGCTATGCGTCGCGCATTGCACGATGGATTCTTTGAGCTCACGCTTTAGAAGCAAAAGGACTCCATTAGTGTCGACGATACGTGAACATGGAATGCAGGACATGGCGGAGCAGGCTCAAATTCTGCTGGGGTGGTGATGCTTGTAAGGAAACTTCCTTTTCCTTACTTCGCATCCCTGCTCAACGCGTACATCACTGTAGCACCACAGTCAGCACCGTTACCACTCGCAACCCTCGCATCGACAATCCGCCCGCCACCTTCGCACATCGCACCCCGACCTCACGGCTCGGCGGGTAACCCGCGCTCCGGGCCTCCGCTTCGACACTTTTTCCCAACCTCAGTCCCAGGCCCGTCGCGCGACAACCACAGTCCATTACCGTTACCACTGTAGTTTCGCTATATATTCTTCGCTCATTGTACTCTTGCTTAGATAGTGCAATTCTCGTTAGTTCACTCAATTGCACTCGTAACAAAGCTGCTTTGGGCTTGGAGCAAATACTCGTTACAAAACGAAATGGAGGTCCAACGAAAAACTGTTTCTAAACAAAGTATTGCACACTCCGCAAATTCATTTTTCGCAGTCTGTTCCCGCGATGATTACAGTTCGCCCGTTTCGCTCAACGAACTGGCTTCATCCCTGACAGCCTTGGGCATTCCGTCTCAGGATTCCGACACTCTATGCTCTCATGCTCTCACCCACACTACGCACTCACCCAGACACCACTACCATTCTGAAAAAAATAGCAGCCATGAACCATGCTCCAGCGGGCCAGTGCTGCTTCGGTCTGGGACGTTGAAGCATTTCGTCTCTGTAAACAGCTGCCAAAACAAGTAGTTGTTCAAAACAAATCAGCAATTTTTAAAAATGTCTCGCCATTTGCTAAACCATCCTCGTCCTGAATTCGACGATCCCTCGGTAGCTTCACGCCCTCCTCGGGTCCTACTTGTCGGAAATCTCTGTCATGACGTCATCACTCTGAAGTCCAGGAAAACGGTTGAGGCGTTAGGCGGCTCGGTCGCGTACATCTCGCGCGTGCTCGACGCAGTCGGCGTGACGTCGCGATCCGTCGCAAAGGTCGGCTCGGATTTCAAGTACTGGGACGCGTTGGGCCCGAATTGCCGGCCGGTAGTGGTGGGTGGGGACGAGTCGGAGAGAAAGGGGTCAATCCGCCCTGCAGGGCCAGCGGCAGCAAAGACGACCGAATTCTTCGCGGATTTCACAGGTGATGGGTCGCCATGGTTTAGTCCCCATTTCTAACGTGCCGTTCTGATCTCCCACATGCCGAGTCATTCTTAAAAAAGTACCTGATTCTCATTCCATTGCGTCAATCCATTCCCACTTATTTTTCCCTTCATCTTCTGTCCTGATTCCTCCCCAACACCCCATAACTGAACATCCAGGCTCTGACCGCGTGCTGACAGCAGACCACGTGTGCGAAGCCATCGAACCAGCAGATCTCCCCAACTTCTCATGCTCGTGTCGTTGCCCGTGCGGGTACCAAGATGCATATCCACTGGCAAATCCTCATCCTGATCATTCCACTCCACCTGATTCAGCTGCCACTTTTGCTGGGGAGGACTGTGACAATAAGATATGTGACCCAAGACGACCGAATAGTAATCAGAGAGCAAGGAGCTGCTCTCACGTGCCGACGTTTGAAGTGGGAGTGGCTGCTGGTGTGGCTGGGGAGGTTCCACCAGCAACAGTGCGACACATTGCAGAAATTTCACGCCACACAGTTGCAGATCTACAGGTACTATTGCATCATGCAGTGAGTGGAACATAGAAATTCCTGGTTGCTTTTTATGAAATTTCTGTGTATTGACTTCTGTGTCCTGTGAGTTCAGTTCGCTTCTTTACTCACCTGTTTCCCGGCCTTTGCCCCTCCCCTTTCAGTCGATGGTGCGTGACATTGACCCTGTGACAGGGGCTGTTGAATTGCTGCATCTTGAGAAGACCTCTTTTATGGCTCTCCTTCCACGGATATCATATCTTAAGGTGCTGCTCTGTTCCATGTGCATTCCCCATTTGCTCCATACTACATGAGTGCAAGCGAGCGTTGCAAGCTTATTGCATATTCGTATTGTGAAACGTGCTGTAGTATTTCTGCGCATCCTCATGCATCTCACTACTCAAACACGCCATTTCTCTCCGTTTCATCATCTCCTGCATGTCTCCAGGTTGCCAGTCACGAAGCTGCCTTCCTGGATATCAAGAAGTGTGCTCGGCTGCTTGGCTCAGCCCAAGCTAGGAGTGTCGTGGAGCAATGCCATGGTAGAAGAGATAGTACCATTGGAGGAGCTGTGCTGCTGACTCAGGCTGAAAAAGGGTGTACAGTCATCACAAGGTAGGGACATACAATGCCACATCACACACACAATGGCAGCAATGAGCCGTGTCAATGTCTGATTCTGGTTCTGTTTACCTAAACCATTGTTGTGTGGCCGATTTCGTTCCTCCCTCGTATTGCAGAGACAGAGAGTTCGTGGTCCCCTCATTTCCTGCAGTGGAAGTGGATTCCACAGGTGCAGGTGATTCATTCATGGCAGGCCTCATTACAGGCCTGTGCTTAAATCGATCACTAGAGCAGACAGTGCAGATGGGCTCGTTCTTCGGGAGCATAGCAGTAGAGCAGGTTGGAGTGCCATTAGTAACACCACCAATTGTTGCTAGGTGGCAAGCAGAGTTTAATGTAGACGCCTGTCACTAGTCTGATCTACATCCAATTGAGTGTACATAGAATGTTTTCTAACCCCTAGTAGTTTCTCGCATTTGCTAGACCCAGAATCTCTCACAAGTCTTGATATTCCCGCGCTTATGTGGAAGCCTCTCGCTATTTCGACATTTGAATCGGACGGTGCAGAGCCCTGGAAGCCTCTCGTAGCCTCCAGTGTGAAGTTTCGACGGCCAGCTGCTGCTTGCGGCGCCAGGATCTGCTGGAAGCGTCTAGAAAGTTTCGTGATGGACGGACAGGGAAGACTTTCCCCAGCGGTTTGGGGCAATGGCAGAGCACCACTGACAAGCTCTTTCCCCCTCACACCAGCAGACATCTCAAATCTACAAATAGCTAAGCTTGAGATTGTCACCTCAGATCTCAGTTTCCAACTGAGAAGTTTGCCTGCTCCTCAGCTCTGTTTTGCAAAGCCCTCTTCCAGCGCACTCACAAAACTCCTCACGACTTAGACACAATGGCCGCGAAGGGAGAAGGTCCCGCTATTGGTATCGATCTCGGTACCACCTACAGCTGCGTCGGTGTGTGGCAGCACGATCGCGTTGAGATTATCGCCAACGACCAGGGTAACCGCACCACACCCTCCTATGTAGCCTTCACCGACTCGGAGCGTCTCATTGGCGATGCTGCGAAGAATCAAGTCGCCATGAACCCCATCAACACAGTCTTCGGTGAGTCTACATGAGATTTGGTTTTCTACGTTTGGCCTTGAATTGTATGATGATGAATGATTGCAGGGATTTAACAATCAACTAATCTGTTCTGGTTCTTTCTACTGCGCAGATGCTAAGCGTTTGATCGGCCGTCGGTTCTCCGATGCTCCCGTTCAGAGCGACATCAAGCTGTGGCCGTTCAAGGTCACCTCAGGACCCGGCGAGAAGCCCATGATTGAGGTCCAGTACAAGGGCGAGACCAAGTCCTTCGCTGCGGAGGAGATTTCTTCCATGGTGCTCATCAAGATGAAGGAGATCGCCGAGGCGTACCTCGGAAGCACCATCAAGAACGCCGTCGTCACCGTCCCTGCGTACTTCAACGACTCTCAACGACAAGCCACGAAGGATGCTGGCGTCATCGCCGGCCTGAACGTCCTCCGTATCATCAACGAGCCCACCGCCGCTGCCATCGCGTACGGTCTCGACAAGAAGGCCACCAGCACCGGCGAGAAGAACGTTCTTATCTTCGATCTCGGGGGAGGAACCTTCGATGTGTCCCTGCTGACAATCGAGGAGGGTATCTTCGAGGTGAAGTCCACTGCCGGTGACACTCACTTAGGCGGTGAGGACTTCGACAACCGTCTGGTGAACCATTTCGTCCAGGAGTTCAAGAGGAAGTACAAGAAGGACATCACCAACAACCCTAGGGCTCTCCGTCGTCTCCGTACCGCCTGCGAGCGCGCTAAGAGAACTCTCTCGTCCACGGCTCAGACCACCATTGAGATCGACTCGCTGTACGAGGGTATCGACTTCTACTCCACCATCACCCGTGCCAGATTCGAGGAGCTCAACATGGACATGTTCCGCAAGGTTAGTCTCTCTATTTCCTCCCCGTCAAGTCAATTCTCCATCTACTGCCTGAATCCATTTTGATTTCGAACTTACTGGTTGGTGTCTTGTTGTGATTTTGTCCCACTTTTCGAGCATCATTTCTAACTCTCTTTGCTCTTGCTCTTGTGTTTCCAGTGCATGGAGCCAGTTGAGAAGTGCCTCAAGGACGCGAAGATGGACAAGGGTGCCATTCACGACGTGGTGCTGGTCGGCGGGTCCACGCGTATCCCCAAGGTGCAGCAGCTCCTGCAGGACTTCTTCAACGGCAAGGAGCTCTGCAAGAGCATCAACCCCGACGAGGCCGTCGCCTACGGTGCTGCCGTGCAGGCGGCTATTCTCAGCGGCGAGGGCAACGAGAAGGTCCAGGACCTGCTGCTGCTCGATGTTACTCCCCTGTCCCTGGGTCTGGAGACTGCTGGTGGTGTCATGACCGTTATCATTCCCAGGAATACCACGATCCCCACGAAGAAGGAGCAGGTGTTCTCTACCTTCTCCGACAACCAGCCTGGTGTGCTGATCCAGGTGTTCGAGGGTGAGCGCGCCAAGACCCGCGATAACCATCTGCTCGGCAAGTTCGAGCTGTCCGGCATCCCCCCTGCTCCTCGCGGTGTTCCCCAGATTACCGTCTGCTTCGACATTGACGCTAATGGTATCCTGAACGTCAGCGCCGAGGACAAGACCACCGGCCAGAAGAACAAGATCACGATCACCAACGACAAGGGTCGCCTCAGCAAGGACGAGATTGAGAAGATGGTTCAGGACGCGGAGAGGTACAAGGAGGACGACGAGCAGCACAAGAAAAAGGTTGAGGCGAAGAACTCCCTGGAGAACTACGCCTACAACATGCGCAACACCATCAAGGATGACAAGATCGCGAGCAAGCTTGACTCTGACGACAGGAAGAAGATTGAGGACGCAGTGCAGTCAACCATTGACTGGCTCGACCAGAACCAGCTTGCGGAGGTTGATGAGTTCGAAGACAAGATGAAGGAGCTGGAGGGCATCTGCAACCCCATCATCGCCAGGATGTACCAGGGTGCGGGAGGTGCTCCTCCTGAGGCTGACATGGATGGCGCTGGTGCCGGATTTGGTGGCGGCGCTTCCGGTGGTAGTGGCTCGGCTGGGCCCAAGATCGAGGAGGTCGACTAATTTGGGAAACTTTGTTGATAGATTTTGATAAACCCTGTATTGCATTCAAATTTTGAAGCTGGAGTCACATTTCTCTCATCCCTGCTTGCACATCTCCACATAAGTGGATGTACACTAAACATGCGCTCATTAACATTAATGATTAACCTAGTAGGGTATGGTGAGAGCGTAGTATGATGTGACTAGCTGAAATCTCTGCAGCTCTTGCCGCTATTGCTGAAAACACGCCTCCCTCACTCCCCCAACCGTGTCATTTTGAAAGCGAATATATGTGTTGACCAACAGTGAATGTAAGATAGTGCCTGCCTACAATACCACTTCTTTGTGTAAAATGTACTGTTCTAGCTACGTCGTGGCTTGTAATGCGGATAAACTGCAACGTTGAACTAGCAGACAAAGTCCTGACTCCCTAGTCCCGACTGATGAGTCTGGCCGGCGGGAACACTTTTTGCTAGTTGGCCCAACCCCGGTCCCATCCCGCTGTCCCGACTCGACCCCGTCTTTCCGGATTTCTCGTCGCTATCTAGCCTCAGTCGGTACTCTAAATACAGCCTACCTGTATCGGATCTGCGCAGCTTACCTATGGATGCTTACCACAGTCGCCCCCCCAGAAATCCTCTCCCCCTTCCCCCTTTCCTTTCCCTCCAGCGAAGGTTACGCGTCCTCCCAAGTCAAGTTACGATGGTTTGCTGCGGCGCCACGATCTGCTGGAAGAATCTAGTCGTGATCGGCGGGCAGGAGAGCCCTCTCCTAGATTGGCGAATTGAGAAACGACCGTTGGCGGACTGAATTCGCTTCCCGCCTCGCACCAGCAGACATCTCCAGATCTTAACTTCCAGCTGCTTTTACAGATATATAGTTCAGTTGAGGAATCTGCTTAATCTCCAGTTTAGAAGATACGGCACCCCCTCGTTATACAATCACCCCTAACCCCTGTTGGGCTGAGTGCCCCTTAGGATCTTTGGTAGGGTTAAACTCTGGGTAGAGTGATGTAGTAGCGGAAGCGTTTAAATGAAGTCCTTGAACCACCTTGCGCTGGTATGTGAGGGCAAAGTAAGTTGATTAAAACAAGCAAGTACAAAGGTTTATATAAGAGTACAAAGAATACGAAGAGATATAATTAAACTGTTTTACTGTTGCGGTTCGATACAGTGCGACTCGGGCAACTGCTCAATGTCGAGTCAGTTGTGTGTCCTTGCTGTCGCACTGCATTTGTCAAGTCAAAGGTCGCTGACCTTTGACTTTCGCGTAACCTCCAGCGGTTACTTCAACCTCCGAGGGTTGACTCGCTGGTGCCTCGATATGCTCTGCTTCGCTTGTGCCTTGGTGTTTCGACACGACAGAGGCGCTTAAGATTGTTTGTTCCCAACACTCCCCTTCGCTTCTGGAGTGTCGCTGCTGGTGACGTGGCTTTGTCCAGTCAGCAGCATGCAGTACTCGAACTTCAGTTTTCTGAGCTTCTTGGTCAAGTAGTCAGCTGCCATCTCGGACGTGGGACAGTAGGATAGTTCAAGTCTCCCCTTCTCAATCTCGTCTTTCACGAAGAAATATCGCAGAACGATATGCTTCGTTCTGTTCGCGAATCCATTTTTGTTGGCGATGCGAATTGCAGATTGGTTGTCGCAGAACAGAGTGAAGTTGGGTAACTCGGCTAACTTCGCTTCTTCCAGCAGCTCGCGAAGATAGAGTCCTTCCTTGGTGGCTGAGCAGAGTGCAATATATTCTGCTTCAGCTGACGAGAGAGCAATTAATTCCTGCTTGCTCGATTGCCAGGAGATCGGTCCGATAGGTTCGAGGCGGTAGATGTAGCCGGTGCGGGAGCGCCTGTTGTCGGAGTCGCCAGCGTGATCAGCGTCGACGTAGCCGATTAATTTAGTCGGTGTAGTTGTGTTCTTGTAGTAAGTTAGGCCGATCGTTGAGGTACTGACGAAATAGTGGAGAGCGCGGTCGAGCTCCGCCAGGTGTTCTGCTTCAGGCTTCTTGAGGTAGGTGGCGAGCTGGCTTGCGGAGTATGAGAGGTCGGGGCGGCAGGTGACAGCTGCGAAGAGAAGGCATCCTAGCTTTCTCTGGTAGTCGCGTATCCCGGCGGATTTGAGTAGAGAGGATCCTTCCTTGTGGTTTCCTGTCGCGTAGCGGTAGGGCGTAGAGATGGTGGTAGGTGTGAGCGCGAAGCGTTTGGCGATGGTGTCGGCGTACTTAGCGGCGTTGAGGTAGATCGCGCCTTCTTCTTCCCGAATGTTCAAGCCGAGGTACTGTGTGACGGTAGAGGAGACCGTGAGTGTGAGGTCCCTCTGTAGCTCCCCTTCGAACCAGGTGGTGATGTCGTCAGTAGAGCCGATGTAGAGTAGGTCGTCTACGTAGACGATCAGCAGAATGTAGTCGGTGTCTTTAGTGAGTCGGTACATTCCTTGGTCGTGAGGTAGTTGGCGGAATCCGATGCGAATGAGGCGAGCGTGTAGGTACTGTTGCCATAGCCGCGGAGCTTGCTTGATCCCGTAAAGTGATTTCAGCAGTTGACAGACTTGGTTAGGTTCCCCGTTGGTACCGTGTGGGAGCTCGACGAAGATTTCCACGTCGACAGGTGCGTAGAGGAACGCGTTGGCGACATCGATTTGCCGTAGCTTCCTTTTCTTCATGGCGGCGATCGCGAGGAGGATTCGAAGTGAGGTATGTCGGCTGACCGGGGTGAATGTCTCGGTGAAGTCCCATCCGTGCTCCTGATCGAATCCACGCACAACCCAGCGTGCTTTGAACTTCTCAATTGTGCCGTCTGCTTTTGTTTTAACGCGGAAGACCCATTTCCCGGTGAGAATGGTCTTGTTCCTTGCCACGCTGATGGGGACAACTTTCCAGGTGTTCCGTTCCTCCAGCGCCTTTAACTCTCTGTCCATGGCTTCACGCCATTTTTCCCAGTGTTCCCCCCCCAGAGCCTGCTGAACCGTCGCAGGCTCCTTAGGAAGAGTGTTGCCGTGGACTGCGGTGACGAGTCCGAGAATCTGCAGTCCAGTCTGTGAGTAGCGGGGAAGAGTTGCATCCTCGGGATAGGCTGCTTCATCTCCCGCTTCTGGATCAGGTATGAAATTCGGTCCTACTCGTTCTGCTTCGTTGGTGTTGACTGTCGCAGGTGTTACGTAACCGTTGTCGGCGAAGTAGTAGAAGGTTTCGGCGTTGACACTTTCGCGAGGGTTATCTTCGTCCATGGGGACGTCGACGGAGCAGAACGGAAGGGGTCCAGCTTCTTCTGATGCGTTGGCCACATTCTGCTCGTCCCAGTCAGCTTCGTCTGCTGCCGAGGCGAAGGCTCGGTCACCACGAAAACCACCTGTGGGATCTTGGTCCTCTTGCAGGTTGGCAAGGTATGTCTGGAGCGTGAGTCGTTCGTAGAAAATGACGTCGCGTGCTGCTACTGTTTCCTTGGAGTGGACGTCAAAGATTTTCCACGCGTTGTAGTTCTTTTCGATGCCGAGGTGTAGTCCCCACTGTGCGCGTTGTGAAAATCGGCCCGCTCGTGCTGCCGGGGGTCGGTACTGTACCATGCATCCGAACACTCGTAACATTTTTGTGTTGCCCTGTTTTCCTGTCCACAGCAGATGCGGTGATGCGTTGTTCGGTAGTGATGAAGATGAGAGCAAGTTGTGCAGCATGACAGCGTGGTCCATCGCGTCAGGCCACTGGTGGTTGGGTAGCCGCATGCCACGCAACAGTTTGCGCATGCTGTTCTGCAGAGTCCTGTTCATTCTTTCTGCTACACCTTGCTGCTGATGGGCGTAGGGAAGAGAGAGGAGCTGCTTGATTCCCCTTTCCGCCAGGTACTGCTTGAATCGCTGAGAGGTGTATTCTCCTCCTCCGTCAGACTAGAAGCTTTTCAGCTTTACGCCCGACTCTCTTTCTGCTACTGGTAGCCAAGCAGCGAATGCTTCGAGGACCATGTCGCGGCTGGGTAGGTTTAGATGCCAGACGTAACGGGTGGCGGCGTCGATGAAGGTGATTGTGTAGTTGTATATTACTTGTCCTGGTTCCCGATTGTACAGGATGTCGCTATACACCTTTTCGAGTGGTGCGTACGCGGGTGTGCTCGGGTTGTGATGAGGAGTGAACGGCCGATGTGGTAAGTCGGCTTCGGGGCAGGTAAGACATGTTCCTCGTGCCCGTTGAAGTTCTCTGCCGTCGAGTAGTAGTAACGAGTCCTTGTCAAGGACTCCTGCTCTTATTGTGTTGTTTAACACAGTGTTGCTTGGGTGTCCCATGCGTGCGTGCCAGATGTCTTCGGAGGCGCGGTGTCCGGGTGAGCGTCGATACGCGTCGGAGTTGGAGTAGAAGCTGGCGGTGAAGTTTGCGCTTCTATGGACCTCCCGTTGAGCCGGATTCAGCTGCTGTGCGGGTGTTGGTGGTGCTTCGTCAACGAGGAGTGGTGTCGTTGTTGCTGCTACTGTTGTTGTTCCTGCTACTGCCGATGATGTCTCTGCTGCTGCCGATGATGTCTCTGCTGCTGCCGATGTTGTCTCTGCTGCTGCCGATGTTGTCTCTGTTGCTGCCGATGTTGTCTCTGCTGCTGCCGAATGTTGTATTGTTACTAACGCACGTGTTCGTTCTGCTTCAGGAATGGTATGTGAATACCAAAAGCCTTCCGGACTGAAGTCGGGGTCGAGATCCGGCGGGTGCGTCCAAGATGTGAAGGTGACGATCCCGTCACTGTCTGCGGTGCCCGGGTCTGGGACGAAATCGAGAACGAAGACATTGTTCTTCAGGACCGCCTTTCCGATGTAGAGGCCGCCCTTCCCGTGGTACAGCTTGAACTCCTGGGTGGTACTGTCGGCTTCCAGATGTATGCCTTTCGCCATCAACTGACTGACGCTCAGTAAGTTGTAGCCAAGTCCTTCTGCTATTAGGACTTTGGACATTTGCAGTATGACATTCGTCTCTCGTGACTGAAGTTGCACTACTCCTTATCGTCGTGTGCGCAGGTTCTGATTATTGGCGACAGTGATGACGACTTCTCGTTGAAGTTGGTGCTCGCGTTGAACGAAACGTCCTGAAGAGCACATATGTTGTCCGCAGCAACTGTCCAAGAACCATGTATCCTTCCCGGACGGCTCGCTTTGAGCGATGGCGGCGTACGTCGGGTTCGGTTGAAGTGACTCGCGGCGAGGCGTGCTGTTGTCGAGTTGTTCTTCTGGTGAGTAATATGGTGGTGACTCAGTTACGCAGGAGTCACTCAGCCTTGCCATGCAGCTGACGATGTTTCTTGTTCCTTTCGCAGGTTGTCCCGTCGATGTTGTTGAGACTTGTACTGAAGTTGTCGGATTTGCTTGCGTTGAGGTGACTTGACTGCTTGAAGGGCGAAGTTGGCGTTGCGGCGACGTTGACTGTTGTCGATTTGGGCAGTGCGTACGAGGATGCCCTGAAGTCTTGCAGAGGTGGCAGAACGGAGGTACGATTTTCGGTCGATTGTTGTTGTTGTTGTGGCGCCGTTGAGTGTGAAACGCGAATTCGGGCACTGATACCTTTCTCTTGTGTCGTTCTTCTTGCAGGTCCATGTCTTGCTGCTCGGCGTGGATTTCGGCGCAAAGTGCTGCTTCAGAAATTTTCCCGTGGGCTCGTAGTATGGCGCGAGTGGAGCGCCAGTGAGGACCAAGACCGCCGATGACAACCGTGATGAAGGCGTCCTCTGAAATCGATCCTCCACATCGAAGAAGCTTGTCGCGCAGCTCGCGGCAGCGACTGATATACGCCATTCCCTTCTCGCCTGGTTTCATTTCGATTGTTGTCAGCCGCGCCATTAACCGACTTTGGTTTACGCTGTCTGTTGCTTGATACAGGCTCTTCAAGTGATTGTACGCGAGCTCCGCGGAGTTGCCGTAGCCTCGGTAAGACCGTATGTTTTGTTGTTGAGTTGGAGTGATGTTCCTCAGTAGTATCGTGTACGCCATCACCGATTGATAGGTGTACTGCTGCTTCTCATACTGTGTGCCGTTTGTTGGGTATGGCAGGGACCCGTCGAAGAAGCCAAGGATTTGCGCTCCTTCCATCATCAGCTCGAATTCGAACGACCAGATAAAGAAATCCTTCCCGTCGAAGGGTTTTGTCGTTTGCAGTTTTAGAACGTGCGCGAACTGCGACTGAACTTGTAGTGCGTCCAGCGTTCTCTCTTGTCCCGGTGCAGGTTGTGGTTGTGGCATGAAGCTGACGGAGCCGCGCTGGGGCTCGTACGGAGCGAAGGTAGGTTGCTGTTGTTGATTCCCGCGTGCGTAGGATGAGCCATCGAGACTCATGGGCGTCACGTTGTTGTTGTTGTTGCTGTTGTTTGATTGTGCAGGTGCTCCTTGCTGATGCTGCTCATAGAAGGACATGAAGGAGAAGAACTTCTCCATCATGCTTGGATCGAAGCCCGCGCCTTGGTTTGTGGGTGTTTCAGTAGACCCAGCTGCCGGTCTCGTTGTTGTGCCTTCCTCTGTCTGTAGGCCAGAGGCAGGAGGTGGAGTAGGAGTAGTACCAGGAGAGCCGTTGGAGGAGCTCCTCTCCTTTCTGGTAGACATGTCTCTTGGTGTATTAGGTGTTAAGGAGAAATAATTTTAACCCTAACCAGCTCTCATACCATGTTGGGCTGAGTGCCCCTTAGGATCTTTGGTAGGGTTAAACTCTGGGTAGAGTGATGTAGTAGCGGAAGCGTTTAAATGAAGTCCTTGAACCACCTTGCGCTGGTATGTGAGGGCAAAGTAAGTTGATTAAAACAAGCAAGTACAAAGGTTTATATAAGAGTACAAAGAATACGAAGAGATATAATTAAACTGTTTTACTGTTGCGGTTCGATACAGTGCGACTCGGGCAACTGCTCAATGTCGAGTCAGTTGTGTGTCCTTGCTGTCGCGCTGCATTTGTCAAGTCAAAGGTCGCTGACCTTTGACTTTCGCGTAACCTCCAGCGGTTACTTCAACCTCCGAGGGTTGACTCGCTGGTGCCTCGATATGCTCTGCTTCGCTTGTGCCTTGGTGTTTCGACACGACAGAGGCGCTTAAGATTGTTTGTTCCCAACAAAAGTGACGATGATCACCGGGAACGAACATTTAACTAATGTGTCCTGGTTCTTTTCACTACTACGCAGATTCCAAGCGTTTGATTGGCCGTCGCTTTTCCGATGCTTCCGTTCACAGCGACAAAAAGCTATGGCCATTTCAGGTCACCAAAGGCCCTGGAGACAAGCCCATGATTAAGGTCGAGTTCAAGGAAGAAACCAAAGTCTTTGCTCCCGAGGAGATTTCCTCCATGGTTCTCATCAAGATGAAGGAGATTGCCGAGGCGTACCTTAAAAGCACCGTTAAGAATGCGGTCGTCACCGTACCTGCGTCCTTTAACGACTCCCAACGACAAGCCACGAAGGACGCTGGCGCAATCGCGGGCCTGAATGTCCTCCGTATCATCAACGAGCCCACTGCTGCTGCTATTGCGTACGGTCTCGCCAAGAAGGTCACCGGCTCTGGCGAAAAAAACGTTCTTATTTTCGACCTTGGCGGAGGTAGCTTGGATGTTTCACTTCTGACAATCAAGGAGGGTACTTTTGAGGTAAAAGCCACTGCAGGTGACACTCACTTGGGCGGTGAAGACTTCGACACCCGTTTGGTGAATTTCTCCGTTCAGGAGTTTAGAGGAAGTACAGGAAGGACATGAGCAACGACCAGAAGGCTCTTCGTCGCCTCCGCACTGCCTGCGAGCGTGCCAAAAGAAACCTCTCGGATTCGACGCAGACGAGAATTGAGATTGACTCTCTGTTCGATCGTCAGGACTTCGACAGCATTATCTCCCGTTTGAGATTCGAGGAGCTCAACATGGACTTACGCAAGGTTGGTTCCAAGTCGCTTACTTCACCCTTCCAGTTTAAAAAATACTGAACTACATTCTTGGAAGTTCTGCTGAAATTTTAGGGACGCAGAGTCTCAAAGATTCTTCTGGTCTGAATACGTGATTCTTATTTTTTTATAAGGCAATGCTAATGATGTTTCCTTCTTAGCTAATTTGTGTACCTACAGTGCATGGAGCCGGTCGAGAAGTGCATCAGATCCACGACGTGGTGCTCGTCGGTGGGTCCACACGTATCCCTAAGGTGCAGCAGCTCCTGCAGGAGTGTCTCAACGGCAAGGAGCTCTGCAAGAGCATCAACCCCGACGAGGCCGTCGCGTCCGGTGCGGCCGTGCAAGCGGCTATCCTCAGCGGCGAGAAGGTGCAGGACCTCGTGCTGCGCGATGTCACGCCTCTGTCCCTGGGTCTTGAATCTTCCGATGAGGTCATAAACGTTATCATTCGCAGGAACACCGCGATTCCCACCAGAAAGGAGCAGGTGTTTTCCGGCAACCAGTCTGGTGCGTTGATCCAGGTGTTCGAGGGTGAGCTCCCCGAGTCCGAAGATAACCATCTGCTCGGCAAATTCGACCTGTCCAGCATCCCCCCTGCTCCTCAGATCACCGTTTGTTTCGACATTGACGCCGACGGTATCTTGAACGTCAGCACCGAGGACAAGACTACCAGCCAGAAAAATAAGATCACGATTGACAAGGGCCGGTTGAACGAGGCCGAGATTGCGAAGATGGTTCAGGATGCGGAGAGGTACAATGCGGAGGACTTGCGGGACAAGAGGAAGGTGAAGGCAAAGGACTCGCTCATGACGTATACGTACGACATTAAAAACATGATGACGAGGGATGACACAATCACATGTGATCTCAACGCCGGGGACAGATATAAGATCGAGGATGCTGTCGAGATGACAATCGAGTGGCTCGCACGGACCCCGATGGCTGAGGCATATGAATATGAAGACAGGATGAAGTGGCTGCAAGGTATCTGCAGCCCTTTCATTGCTGTGATCTGATGTTCCAGAGAGCTGGACTCTGGGAGGCTGGAGGTGCTCCTCCTGAGGCGGACATAAATGGCGCTGGTGTTGGTTCTGGCAGTGGTGCTTCGGGTCGGGTGGTCAGCTTGGCCCGAAGACCGAGGAGGTCGACTAATTTAATAATCATGTTGATTGTTATTGTCAACACCTTTGCTGTAATCCTAACTGGATGTTTCAGCTTGCAAAAACCAAAAGTTAAAACCCACGGCCAACGCTCAGCCCTCTTTTGCTCATTAGCTTTGAAAATATAATTAAGACATCACACGTCGTCACTGGTACAGTATCGTGTCTGTTTGAGCCTATGGTTAAAACCAAAATGCAAAATAGTGAACCCAACGCCAACTTGAAAGAGGGCTTGCCGTGCGAAACAATTTTGGAACCAAACCGACAAGTTTCCAGTGTTTCATTGAGAGCGTTTTTTGCAGATCGAACACATCTGATTGGTTCCCGCCAAAACCAAAAGAAGGAACACAGCACGTCAGGCGTCGCATATCAGTTTTGGAAGCTGCACAACACTAGCATTGCGATCGCTCATGCCCGTCCTTGCGATTTTGTGTCAAATGTTTATATATTCTATATATTGTTAGATAGGCTACTGTGAGTTGCCCTCTAAAGGGTACAACACTTTAGGTCGACATTTGTATCTCCTTGTCCCTCCTTACTCAAACATTACTCTCGACACTTGTCTCCTAGCCTATCTTAAGATGGTATTAGAGTAGGTTTTTTACTCCCTCCCACGCTTCCGCTCCCTCCCTTAGCCGGTCCCGAGGCGCCCGTCCCTTAGGCCCCGTTTCGTCGCGGGTAGGACGGCCCCCGCGGGCCTCGTTTTCGTCGCGTTTAAGGGCCCCCGCGGGCCTCGTTTTCGTCGGTTTTAAGGGCCCCCGCGGGCCTCGTTTTTCGTCGCGTTTACAGGGCCCCGCTGGCCCCTCGTTTCGTCGCGCTCCAGAAGGGACTCTCCCCCCCCCCCCCCCCCCCCCCCGCGGGCCCGCGTAGTCGTTCTTAGCCCGCAGCAGCGCGCGCGTTAGCCAGCGGCAGCCGCGCACGCCACTGCAGCACGCGCATTGCAGCAGCAGCGCGTGCTTTGCTGCAGCAGCACGGCTAGGCAGCAGCGCGTGCATTGCAGCAGCAGCACGGCTAGGCAGCAGCGCGTGCATTGCAGCAGCAGCACGGCTAGGCAGCAACGTGTGCATTGCAGCAGCAGCACGGCTAGGCAGCAGCGCGTGCTCCTGCAGCAGCAGCACGGCTAGGTAGAAGCTAGCCGCCAGCAGCAGCTAGCCACCGGAACCTAGCCGCCAGCAGCTGGCGCCAGCTAGCCCCTCCCACCCGCCCACAGCCCCTTTCAACCGCTCACAGCCCCTTCCAACCGCTCACAGCCCCTTCCAACCGCTCACAGCCCGTTCCAACCGCTCACAGCCCCTTCCAACCGCTCACAGCCCCTTCCAACCGCTCAGAGCCCCTTCCAAACGCTCACATCCCCTTATCACGCGCGCACACCACCCAGGACCACCCGACCTCCGTTGGTTCGACACTCGCGTCACTCATACTCACAGTGTTTCGCACCGTCGCGGCTGGAGGCCACTCCGCTTAGCTGTTTAGGCTAGTCCTGACGTTCGTTGTTAGCTAGGTCTCTCCTCGCTCCGCCAGCCCCTCGAACGACCCTCTGGCTCCTCGATCGGCTCGTCAGCCCTGCCTCCTCCAGCCGTGTGCTCCTAGGTCAGCTAACTCCCAGCTCCGTTCGTTACTAGACTGGCGTTCCTAGCTCAGTTTTCCTCCGTGCTCCAGCAGTACCTCGCCTAGTCCCACCTGGCGCTCCTCGCTCCTAGCTCCGTTTGCTCCGTGCTCCAGCTGTTCCTAGCCTAGCGTCCAATATGGACTCCTCCCGCCGCCTTCGTTTCGATGCAGAGGGGCGCCCGATAGAGTTCGGCACCTGGCTCCGCCAGACTCAGCGCTATCTCACCAGTCAGCGCCAGGACGGCGCCACCCTGTACGCCCACGCGTCCGGCGCCCTCCAGGCACCACCGCGTCCCGAGCCCCTCCCTGCCGTGCCCCCCCCGACTCCGGAGGCACAGGCGGACTACGCTCGTCTCGTCTTGGCGCGGGACGTTTGGGACTCCCGTGACGCTGCGGCTGCACTCGCGCTGACCGAGCTCCTTCCACCGACTGAGGCCGCTCACTTCGACCTGGTAGAGACTGCGAAGGAGGTGTATGATGCTATTTCTGCACGCTATTCCACCCCTTCCTCTGCCTCCCTCAGCCGCATCCTCATGCCGTTCGTGTTTCCCGACCTCGGCTCTTTTGCGACTGTCTCTGACCTAGCCACACACTTGCACTCCCTTGTCGCTAGCTACCGAGCAGCTTGCACTGAGGCTCAGCTTCTTGTTGCTCCTCCTCCTATTTGGCTCACAGTCCACTGGGTAGTCACTCGTCTCCCTGACCGCCTCTCCACTGCCCGTGACGCACTTCTCCAGCATCACCCCAGTGAGCTTACGATTGATCTTCTCGAGACCACTCTCGGGAAGATCGAGAGTAACCTCCTCTCTGTTGCCTCAGCCACTGACGCAGTTGCCCCTCGTTTGTTTGAGGGGTGTGCTGTCCCCCAGCTTCCTACCTTCACTGCTACACGTGCCTCTGCTGCTGTGTCGGTTTCTGAGGACACTGCAGCTGTTTCTGCCGCTGACAGGCAGAAACGGGGCAAGGGGGGCAAGAAAGGGGGGAAGGGGGGTGGCGGCGGTGGAGGAGGTGGCGGTGGTGGAGGCGGCCCTGGGGGCGGCAGTGGTGGCGGTGTTGCCCCAGGCGGAGGGAGCTCTGGAGGAGGTGCTGACCCACCTGCTGGAGGAGGTTCGACCAGCGGTGGTGCGGGGCCCCAGCAGCAGCAGCCACAGCAGCAGCAGCCACAGCAGAGACAGCAGCTGCACCAGGGACAGCAGCAGTGGCAGGCACCACAGCAGTTTCAGACGTGGGGACCCCCACTGCAGTGGGGTCCGCAGCAGCACTGGGGCCCTCCGCCACAGTGGGGACCTGGAGGACCCGGGAGCACTGGCCGCAGCAGCAGCACTACCAGCTGGGCCCCTCGCCCCCCGCGGCGCGACACCGGCCCCTGCGACCACTGGTGCGTCACCGGACCTGGCAGTCCCTGTGTCTGCGGCCGCGACGACCACTCTGCAGCGCGGTGCTTCCGCCACCTCGACGACCTCTACCGTGCACGCTGGGGTCCTGAGGCGACCACCCCGCGCTGGGCTCGCCTGCTAGCCCGTAAGATTCCTGTATTTGAACTGTCTATGGACGATGCTCGTCAGTATGCTTTGTATGCTGATGTTGACTATAGTGCTGATGGATTTGTGTGCTCGCGTGTTCGTAGTCTAGGATGCTTGCCTCCTGTTAGTGTAGACCTGTGCCTCTCTAGTCTAGGTGCTTGTGTTTCTGCTCTAGGTGCTTGTGTAGCCTCCGGACCTGACACGCCTCCGGCTGAGGCGTCTCTGTCGTTCACGCTGGACTCTGGCGCGTCGCAGTGTTTCTTCCGCGACCACACGACCCTCACACCACTTCTTGCTCCGGTTCCGGTAGCTTTGGCTGATCCTTCTTCAGGACCAGCCGTTGCGCGCAGCTCCACCACCCTCCCGTGCCCTGTGGTCCCCTCTGGTGTCTTGCGCGGCCTCCACATCCCCTCGTTCACCCGGAACTTGGTGGGTGTTGGATACCTCCAGGACAGGGGGATCACCGTTACCTTTGTGGGGGGGGGGCGGACTGCAGTCTGTACTGACGCTACCACAGGTGCTGTTCTGGCCACGTTCACCAGGGAGCCCCGCTCCGGTCTCTACGTTCTCCACACCGAGCGCTCCCCGGTCGCGTCCTCCCCTCAGGTTGTTGCGTCCCCTCCGGCTCAGGTCCCCAGTCCAGTTGCTGTGTCTAGCCAGGTAGTCGTGTCCAGTCCGGTCGCTGTGTCCAGTCCAGTCGCTGCATTTTGCTCCTGTCGCTCTCTCGCCCACCGCACCGTCCTGTGGCACCACCGTCTTGGCCACCCGTCGATCCCTCGCCTTCGTGGCATGCTCAGTCAGGGACTAGTCACAGGTCTCCCACGCACCTTCCCGTCGCTCCCTCTCTCGCTTGCCCCTCCTTGCTCTCCGTGCGTCGCCGGTCGCTTACGCGCCACTCCCCACTCCTCCTCCCTTCGTCCGGCCACCGCTCCCTTCGAGACTCTCCACTTGGACGTCTGGGGCCCTGCCCCGACGCAGGGGTCTGGGAGGGAGCGTTACTTTCTGGTGGTCGTCGACGACTTCTCCAGGTACACCACAGTGTTCCCTCTTGCGAAGAAGTCCGAGGTGACTGCTACGCTGATCAGGTGGCTTCTAGCCACTGAGGGCACTCGTGGTCGTCGAGTCAGTTGTCTTCACTCCGACCGTGGGGGCGAGTTTCGCTCCGGCATTCTCGGCGGATTCTGCGGCGAACAGGGCATCACCCAGTCCTGGACGCTGCCAGAGTCCCCACAGCAGAATGGGGTTGCTGAGCGCCGCATAGGCTTGGTCATGGACATCGCCCGCACGTCCATGATTCATGCCCGTGCGCCCCATTTTCTGTGGCCCCACGCGGTTCGCTACGCCGCACACCAGGTGAACCTCCAGCCGCGTGTCTCGCGGCCCGAGGCTTCACCGACCAGTCTTTGGACTGGATCCCCTGGTGTTGGGTCGGCCTTTCGAGTCTGGGGCTGCCTTGCACTTGTTCGCGACACCTCCGCGGACAAGCTCTCGGCACGCGCCGTCCCATGTGTCTTCCTTGGTTTCCCAGTGGACTCTGCTGACTGGTCCTTTTACCACCCTCCCCTCCACCAGTTCCTAGACTCCCGTGACGTCCGGTTTGACGAGTCCGTGTCCTACTACACCCGGTACCCCTGTCGAGGTCTCCCGGTACCCCCTCCCCCTCTCTTCCTCGCACCCTCTCCTCCTCCTGCTCCCGCTCCTCCGGTACCCCCGCCCCCCCCAGGTCCTGCCCCGTCTGGTGTGTCCCACGCTACCCCTCTACCCTCGGTCGCGCGTCAGGTA